TGATCTTGTAAAAACAAAAATAACTCTCTAATCTCTATAATATTATTTGAGAAGTTAGTTTTCTACGTGTCGCACTCACGTTAACTCTCCCGATGGTTGATTACATAGATACCCTTAATGAATTTTTATATTTAAAGATTATTATTTTTATTTACTTTTTCCAAATAACATACATAATAAAAAGGAAACATTTATAAAATCTTAAAACAAATTTAAAAACGAAAAATATATGTATATAATATTATTTTATTAAAAAGGAAAGCTTACAAAATAGGAATATTTCCTTTAATATATAATTTAAATAACATAAAATATATTTTCAAAGTAATAAAGTACATATGTTCATGAACATCCAAAAATTTAACTGTTACACTTTATTTTCTAATATCTTTTATAAATCAACATATAATTTGATAAATATTATGAAATGCATGTATATTTAAGTGATAAATAAAACTAATTTGATTTGATTTCACTAAAATAAATTTAATTATACTCAGTTTTAATTAAAAAATATATTCAACTCAATATACTTATAATATGAATGACTCGACTAATCTAGCTTATATCCAAAACTAAAGATCTAACTACAAGAATATATAATTTATAATTATACTTTTATACATAGAAATTACAGGATGACTCAAAACATATTAAAATAAAAATAAAATATTAACCAATTGTAATTTAGTTCTTTTGTAAAAATTTCATATATGCATGAGACTTTAAATACATTTGAATCAAACACTTCAGCTTATAATACATTTTAAGTACAATATATATTAAGTTGTACATAGTCTAACTATAATATATTTACATCTCTAAGAAATAACCAACCTAAATGAAAATAAGAAAATTATTAAAAATTATTATATTTAGAATAAAAATATTATAGTTGAATTCGAAAAATAGATATTATCTAATATACCGAATTGATAACCAAATCGGCTACTAATTCGAAAAATAATCAACCTACTATAATATATCCAAAATCCTATGTCTAATTATAATAATATAATATTTATTAATATAAATTATACATATAAATTGATTAAAAGTTAAAACTAAATATTAATCAATTATTATAAAATTTTACTTTTATAACATATTCATACCCGTGCATGAACATGGGAGAATCACCTAGTAATTGTATATTTATAAGGAAAATCACTATTCAATATTTACAAGAAAAATCAAATATTATAATTACTTTTGTTCAAAGGGAAGTTGTTTATCTTAAATCAATCTCTAGTGATTTTTTAATTATTTTAAACTCATATATTTTACTTAACTTTAAAAATAAGGTTCTTTAAAAAAAAAGGGATACTACAATTAAATAAAATTACGATTTTATAATTATTTTAAACCAATACTTTTTTATTTAACTTTGCAAATAAGATTCTGTAAAAAGAAACAAGTTTTAAAAAAAAAATTATTTTTAATAGTTTTGACAGGAAAATACTATTAAATATTTATAATAAAATAGTTTTCTATCTCTCTAATAATTGTATATTTATAATTTCTAAATGAGATTGTAATTGTAATTTGTTACTTTTCACGTGGTATCTAACCATGAGTATGCAAAGTACATGGAAATGATATTTAGTTATTCTTCAACATCTGACATCCAAAAGAAAAAAAACACACAAAGATGTGAAAGAGCATGCAAAAAAACTCATTGTATATTTTTCTTGAATCTATAATTGTGTTTGGTGATAAAATATAAGAAGTCACAAAATATGAGATAGCTTGGTCATATATATGTTTAGGATTTGAACAAAGGAAAACTAACATTAAACACAAATTGTAGTTCTTTTTTATGTCTCATCTTTTTATGTTAGGATTTTAATAAAGAAAATTAACTTTTACAATTTTTTGGTTTAAGATTTAAAAAAGGATATCTACAATCAAATATTTTAATCCAATTATATTTTCTTTATGATTTTAGAAAAGGAAATTAGTATTAAATAATCATTTTTACAAATCGTTTTTTATTATAGGATTTTTAAAAACAAAAAATACTTTAGAAAATAAAATAATGTATTGAACAAATTTATTTTGGTATAGGATTTTTTTTTTTTTTAAATAAAATTACTATAACTTTTTTTTAAAAAATCGTTTTTATTAACTTGTTTAACACAGGTCATAATTTTGAAAAAATACAGTTTTTTGGTTTAAAATCGTTAAATAGGATAATTAATATCAATTTTTTATACAATTATCTTTTCTTTATGTTTTTAGAAAAAATAAAATTAGTATTAAAGAAATTTTTTTTTACAAATAATTGTCATATAGGATTCGTAAAAACGAAAATACTTTAGAAAATAAAATATATTGTACAAATCTTTTTGGTATAGGATTTTCTAAAACGAAAATTACCATAACTTTTTTTAAGGAAAAAAATGTTTTTAATAACTTATCTTAGTTTCTAATAATTTATCTTTTTAATATTAATCATGAGATATATTTTAACACAATTAACAATTTTAAAAGGAAAGTTATACAATTTTAAAAGGAAAACTATTATCAAATATTTTTCAACATTTTTTTTTTTATTATCTTGTAAAATATATTAACACATGTCACAATCTTAAATATATAATAGACATGTATCGTAATCCAGTTAATTAGTAACTTTGAAAAAAACAAGCTTTATATAATAAGATATCAAATATAACCATCAGATTTCATACTTAGAAAATATTTCCCAATTTCCAAATCTTAAACATCCTTACATATATCATTAATAAAAAAGTTTTTTACTTGATCAAATATCGTAGTATTTAACAGTTATACACCAATAAATTCCTAAAAGTATTTTAATTATTTATAAAAAAATAAGTTAAATGTCTTATTGAAACGGATTTAAAAAATATAAAAACAAAAAGAAAGTAGAATAGATAAATTGTTGGATGCTTTACAAAATTGACTCAAAACTGGAAGACAAACAAAAAAAAAATAACATTTTTTATTGGAATTTTGACTTGTCTTATTCACCCCGGAAGTTCTGAGTATTCACAAAAAATGCCATTACTTTTTTCGAAAATTGTATGTTACTCTATCAACCTCATCTTCATCATTTATTCACAAAAATTTCATTGCCATCAATTCACCCAATCACCCTAAACAACCAATATAAAGCTCTTAATGCATTAAAAATCGATTTTGAGTCATTCTATCTCATATCTTGTCCACAAAAACTATATATCTCTCAATTTCTCTGTGTATTTATCCCAAAAAAACTCAAGGTTTTTGATTCCAAAATTTTTAAGGTTCATATAGCCAATCAAGCTCATGATTCCAGGTCATTAATGATTGAGTAGCTGTCGTGGTGAAGTTGTGTGCGCTTGGGAAACTAATAAAAAAAATTTCTCTGTGGTTGAAGATATGAATCGATATGTTTCCCAGATATGTTCGCGCGAAGACTGACGTATAAGAGACAAAACTTATACGGAAGTATTATGGGCAAAGCATAGGTTAGTTTTACAATTAATTTTTTTGTGTTTTTTAGAGAAGACTTCTCCCGAAATTTTCAACTTCTCTTTGTTGACAAAAAAAAATCAAGAAGACTTCCCCTAAAATCCTCTCGGATAAACATGTTAGTTTTTCATTTGATCGAAATGCGTCAAAAATTTGACTTTCTACAGAAAACTTCTCTGTAAGTCTTCGAGTGGAAAACTTCCCTGGAAGTCTTCTTAACTTTTATCTTACGTTTAATTACGGTCGGAAAATTTACATGGAAACCTGCGTATGTTATTTTTGCAATTAAAACTTTAAACCTAAAACAGTATAAAATAACTTTTTATTCCGTGTTTCTGTTCAAACCTATGTTTTAAGTCCACATATTTTTCACTATCAACATCTTCACTTTTTTTCCGCCTGCAACTTGTTGTAGAAAAGGGTAAAAAATCGGTTGAAACTTGGAGTAAATTGTCATTGACTTAATAATGTCAAAATCATAGCTATATTATTCAATTTGATTCCAAAATTGGTTATTTGGCAAATTAACCTTTAGATATCATATGAAAAAGAATATGTTATGATAGTAATTTTAATTTTATTATATTTGTAAAGGTTTAAATTTTGATCTTAAAATAATGAATAAAATTGGAATTTTTATTTTTTGATGTCAAATGTATTTTATTTTGGATGTGTAAAAGGTAATTTTCCATTCAAACTGTAAAAATTATTTAAGGGTTTAATAAATTATAATATGTATTATAATGTTGGAATATAATTTAAAATAGTGTAGAAAAAAAAAGTTTATTAAAAAAATATTGTAAATGGTGTAATTTAAAATCTTAAGAAATTATAATATGTATTGTGTTAATTTAAAAGTTATATATATATATATACAATATATTCATAATACAGAGAATATATGTATTATAATGTGTCTATTTACCTAACTAATTGTATATATGTTAAGGTAAACATGAAAACGGTATTAAAAATTTGTTAGTTTAAAAAATTTATCTATTCTATATTGTGTTAGTTTTTATATCTTTTAAATATGTTTCACTAAGACATTTAAATTAATTATTATTTATAAATAAGATTAAAATATTTTTAGAATTTTATTGGTGTATTACTGTTAAATACTATGTTATTTGATCCAATAATTTTTTTTATTAATGATATATGTCAGTATGTTTAAGATTTGGTAATTGGGAAATATTTTCTAAATATGAAAATCTGATGGTTATAATTGATATAAACAAATAATATTTAGTAATTATAAAATAAAATAAAAGTATTAAACTATAGAAAATATAGGATGATTCTTTTTTAGATTTTCCTTAAAATAATTGAAAAAAAAAGAAGTAGATTGATGCAAGTTTTACACAAACAAAGAAAAGGTAACACGAGTTGACAAAAATAAAAAAAGGAAATACCAAGAGCTGTTTTCTTATAAATAGGTGTCTAAAGGAAGGGACATCGATCCAACAACTGCGAAACCCTTTCGTACATTCAATCGTTCTGTGTGCTCTGAAGATATTATGGGAGAACGCAAAGTCCTAAACAAGTATTATCCCCCAGATTTTGATCCAAAGAAGTTACCTCGTCTCCGGAAACCTAACAACCAGCAAAAGAAGATTAGGTTTATGCTTCCGGTTCGTATTCGGTGCAACACATGTGGTCATTACATGTCGGAAGGCACCAAATTCAATTGCCGTCAAGAAGAAGTCATCAACGAGACGTATCTAGGGATTAAAATCCACAGGTTCTACATCAAGTGCACCAACTGCTCAGCAGAGGTGACAATCAAAACCGATCCAAAGAAATCGGGTTATGTTGTCGAGTCAGGTGCTATTGGGCCTTATAATGGACTCGAGGAGGAGGAAGAGGAGAAGCATGAGGTAGCTGAAAACGCATTGGAGTCGTTAGAGAAGAGAACTATGGTTTCTAAAAGAGAGATTGATGTTACGGCTGCGCTTGATGAGATGAAGTCTATGAAGTCTAGAAGAGCGTCAGTGAGTGTAGACTCAATGCTTGAGGCTTTGAATAGAAGAAAAAAACAAGAAGAAGAGAACGTGGAGGAAGAATTGCTCATTAAGTCTATAAAGTTTGGTAAGCGGACTAGGATTGATGAAGAGAAAAAAGATGATGAGGTGCTTGATGAGATGAAGAAGAAGCCTAGGAGACGTCTTAATGGTACATCTCCTAGTCAATTCTCTTCAGTTCACATAATCTCGAAGAAGACTGCAAAGCTACCAGGGGGAATCGAATCTCTGTGTCACAACTATGGCACTGACAGCGATGAGGAGGAGTAGACTTGTTTTAACAGATTTTGCATAGATATTTTTTTTACACTTCTTAGTTTTTTTAAAGTTTTTTTTTATGGTTGAAGTGTATAAAATTGCAGGCATTCTTCTACATTTTAGCTCATCTCATTATAAACACTGAATAACCTCATCTTTGTAAAATTCTGTTTGAATATGTGATTTGGCTTTATGAACATTGTCGAAAGTATTGTATGTTAATGCAGATGAGTGAAAATAAAGTGTAGAAAGACAACTATTTAACGAGGTTAGTTTTTTTAAACTCTTCCCGATCATGTCTAAGTCAGATCCAGTAGAAAAATCAAATGCAACCAATTTGCAAACCTGTAATGTAGTATAACCTTCTTGATTTACCATCATATAGATTACGTGAACTCTTTAGGATAACTTAGATAGACTAGGTCACTTCTACAATAGCTTGTCTCATGCTGTCTTGTTCATGAAGATTTGACAGTGCACAAGTAATCTTGATGATAATGTGGCGGTTAATGAGCAGAGCTTTGTGTGTAAAGCTGGTTTCAAACTCTGAGAGAAGAATGAATGGTTTAGAATGTAAAACATTTAAGTTGAGACTTGATTATTTGAGTGTTTTAAGAGATGGACATTATGATTAGTATTCTGTGACTTCATGTATATTTATAATTTCTTTTATATTCTCTGTTTTGCTACTCTGATTCAACCTGCACTGTTACATGATAAATCCCACAGGTTTTTCTACACAAATTTCTAACATCAGAAACGATCTCTTTAGAACCAGATCCTGGTTCCGACAAGACATGGCACGACATTACAATTCTCTCAACTGTTATCTCCCCATACATGAAGATCATGAACAATCCTAACTCCATTGATACGCTTAAGCCCTCTCTCGAGTTTCTCTAGTTCCATTTCTCGTGGTTCACGCTCCATCAGTATCCAAAATATGTTGTTGAGCATTGGGAGAGTCGCAGCAAGAGCAAAGGCATAGAAAACAAGAGTACATCAAGTGCACCAACTGCTTGTCTGCTTGGCAGAGGTGACAATCAAAACCAATCCAAAGAACTCGGGTTATGTTGTCGAAGAAGACTGAAAAGCTACCATGTTGTCTAATACATCTTTTCTATATTTAAAAAAACAAAAAATTCTCTAAAACATCCTTAACTGAAAAAAAAAATTATTAATTAAAATAAATGTTTTTGAGTTCTTTTTTTAAAATTGAATAAATAAAATTTGGTTTAGTGGATAGTATGATTGGTAAATCTCCCAAAAAACGCAATTCTCTCAACCACATAATTAATGAGAAATCTTTATTTATTAAGGAAACATATAACAAGCCCATTTTTATTTTAGACATAACAGATAACAAGCATACATTACAAACTTAAGACACTGGATCACATCACTAAAGATGATTATTGTCTTAATACTTTTAAGCTGATCGGATTCTCTCTCCCATGTAATTCATGTGTTCAACATGCTTCTCTCTTGGAGGAATACAATCCTTGACAAACTCAACCTTCTCAAGATTCTTCACCCATCTCTTGTACTCTGGAAACTTCTCCTCCGTAACCACTTCCAGTCCCATTCCTTCCCAACCTCTCTCCAAACAAAACGGTATCAGACTTCCGGCGACTATGTCCAGGAATCCGACACTCTTACCACCGAAGAAATCTTTTCCAACAAGTTCCTTCTCAAGATTCATTATCAGCTCTCTTGTCTGCTCAGTAAGAACTTCTCTTCCTTTCTCATCTGCTCTTGCCATTGATCCAAACCCTGTTGATAAAATCTACAGTGTCCAAGAAAAAAAAGAAACAATAGTTTAGTAAAATTAATTCTCTGACTCCATTAAATATCATTAGCTTATTAAAATATTAAGATTCTTAAAGTTTTGGATAATTTAATAATCAAGAACGTATATACATACCTGTTCATCGACGAGTTTAGCCAAGAACCGAGCCTGAGCTCTCTCGTAAGGATCCTGAGGGAGAAATGGATTATGTTTCCAAGTCTCATCGATGTATTCAAGAATCACTAGTGACTCAAGAATGGTTTTGCCATTGTGGACAAGAACAGGGACCTTCTTGTGAATAGGGTTTAGAGCAAGAAGCAAAGGGCTTTTCTTCTCCAAAATCTCTTCAACGTATTCGTACGGTACGCCTTTGAGTTTGAGAGCCATCTCGATCCGACGGCTGAAAGGGCTCGCCCATATCCCCAAAAGCTTCACTTCTTCTTTCTCCGCCATTGGTTTTTTTCTTCTCTTTGTCTCTCTGTTTGTTGGAAATAATGTTTTTTTTGTGGACTCTTTAGTGCTTTTAACTTTGATTTATAGCCTCAGAGTGATGATTTTTCTGTGGAAGAAACGACGAGGTATTGTGCCGTTTTATGGCCGGCAATGATGTGGATTTGAAACATCTAGAGAATGCAAATTGATATTGACTTCTTCAGACCGATTTGATAAAGTTTCACATTGAGTTTTCCTATTTGGTACTTTAGAATTTTCTTGTAATGTAACTGTACTACTTTAGAATATTTTTTACCATATGCATGCATTTCGTCGCGCTTCTAGATGTAACTGTTGAGAAACCATAGCAAATTTCCCTTTTTCTATTCTTACTAATGATTCTGGGCGAATAATGTTGTTAAACTGTGCAAGAAAATCAAATATAAAACGTGGAAAATTATGTCTAAATGTATATGGTTATTTCTTACACCTATTGAATTGTTGCTGTTAAACAAGTATTGGGCTCAAATATACAGTGAGCTTAAAAGCAACTCTTGTTAATAACGTTTTTAAACTTGGACCAACCTAGAAGTTGGAGCAACCCAAATTTATATCCGGAGTCCAAACTCCAAATACATACTTGGCTTCATATTGAGTTCAGATTCTGAAAGCAGGTTAGAGACTGTAATCAAAGGATCTAAACAAACTGTAATTAGTGTACTTAGCATTTTTTCCTAAATTAATGTTTCACTTTATTTCTACTCAAATTTTATGATTTAATGATGGATAATCAAATATCAACAACAAAATTATTTATTGTTTTTTTTATTTCTTCTCATCAAATTTTAGAGATAATTTAGTAATAAAATTTAGGTTTAAGTCGCATGTGATGACGCCGACGGGGTCGGTGTGGCAAGTGAGATGAGACAGAGCCAGTCACAAGACTCACAAGTCATTTAAAGCAGAGAACACGCGTTTCGTGTTAGTTTCACTTTCTCAACTTATATCTGCGTGACGAAATAGATATGTTCACATTAACAAATAGTAAAATACTTATGAAAATAGATAGTTGCGACAAAAAGAAATTAAGACGGATTTTTTTTTTTTTTGAAACACATAGTAGCCTTTTCCTTCCATTATTTTTAACTACAGTGCAGATGAACACATTACTTACTTCATCTCTCTATTCCAATTTATGTGATATTTAAAGAAATCATTTTATTGCAAATAAGTAAGATTTTCGCTATTTTAAACAAAATTTAATGCCATTTTTCAATTTGTGACTAATTGAAAAATGCTGTATTTTCTATTAGTTGAATTAATTTTATAGAGTTGTACTTTTATGTAACAAAAACAAATTATATAAAATTTATATTTTTTTAGTTTTGTGCAAAAACTTTAAACATTAACTAAAATGTTCATGTGACTTTTATCTAACGAGGATATACAAATATATGTTACACAAACTAGGCCTGGCCATTTTACCCGGACCCGAAGACCCGAACCGGAACCGACCCGAAAATATCCGACCCGAACCCGACCCAAAAATTTATAAGTACTTATTGGGTCTAAATTTCTTTTAGCCGAATATACCAAGACCCGAAAAGAACCGACCTGAATAGATCCAGATCCGAAAAGAACCGATCCGAATAGACCCGACCCGATAAGAACCGATTTGTACCCAAGTTATAAACATGTATATCCAAAACTATTTTTTTGTGTTATGTTTTATATATCTATATTATTTTATAATTTAGTTGAAATATCTTTTGTTAACAATATTTATTATTATTTGTAACATTTTTAAGTAATATAAAGTTTTAAAATGTAAAATTTAGAGTTTAAAAATGTTTTCTTTAATTATTAATAGTTTTATTTAAGTTATTTTATAAAAATTTAGATATATATGAAAAATATTGACTGAATTTGAGTGAGTTTGGACATGTTATGCATTTTTTAGATTCTAAATACCCGGACCCGATATGGATCCAAAAATTACGGTATTTTACAGGTATTAGAATTATAGACCCGAACCGACCTAGACTCGGCAAGACCCGACCCGAAAAATCATAAGTACCCATATGGGTCTAAATTTCCAAGACCCGAAAGATCCGGACCCGACAGGACCCGACCCGAATCCGTCCCGAGGACCCGGATGCCCATGCCTTGTCACAAACTTATATGTGCCTTGCACCAATTTGAGCTGCTCTACAACTTTTTCACATAATCAGTCTATTCTTTTTTTGTGAAGAAGTACATTTTCCTCACGATTTCAATTTCTTTCAGATTCTTGATCCATTTAGTTAGTTCTGAAGTTTTATTCTTTGGGATAATCAGTTCTCGTACTTTACCAACCCCGGCTAGCCAAAATGAGATCAAGCTTTATGCGACTAAGTTCAATAGTCATTGTTGAATGGTGAGAAGCACAATCGGTGCCCTTCTCTGTGTATTGTGGTATCAATATATACTGGTACAAATGTATCTCGTGAATCAATCATAACAATTACAGAATATAGAGTTTCTTATTCTATCAGTCTCCGCAGTCGTAACGTAAGGTGGATGGACGCTGAAACTGGAACGGAAACTTGTGAAGAGTGGAGAAGGAAGTCCCTTTGTAAAGATGTATGCGTATTGATGAGCTGAGGGACATGTAGTACCCGAACTGTACTGACTGCAACACGTTCTCGAATGAAGTGGATGTCGATCTCTATGTGTTTGGTTCGCTGGTGTTGGACGGGGTTCATGGAGAGGTAGATCGCATTAATGTTGTTGCAGTAAACTATTGTTGCTGTTGATACTGGGTGATGAAGTTCAAGAAGAAGGTTTCTGAGCCAAATTGTTTCGGCGACAGCATCAGCAACACCCCAGTATTCAGCTTCAGCACTGGAACGCGAGACCGTAGGCTTGCGTTTTGATGACCAGGAGATGAGGTTTTCACCGAGGAAAACACAATATCCAGAAGCTGAATGACGTGTTGTTGTGCATCCAGCCCAATCGGTGTCTGAGTAGACAGTAACTTTGGAGATGTCTGTTGCTTTTAAGTGAATGTCGTGCGAGATTGTTCCTTTGATGTAGCGGAGTATGCGTTTTAAAGCATTTAAATGTGGCTCACGGGGTCGTGCATATGTAGACATATTTGTTGGACAGCATAAACGATATCTGGGCGCGTGAAAGAATGGAGATAGGGATGAGAGAAGGTTGTAGTAGAGGATGGAGATGAAGGTGTGTGAGTTTCAAGAGATTGGAAATGGAACGAGCTTTCATCAAAGATAACATGGTGAGAGATAATGATTCGTTTTGTTTAGATGTCTAAACAGCGATAGACACGATGGTTGGATGGATATCCAAGGAAAAGATACTTTGTTGAGCGAAGAGAAAGAAGAAGGAGATCAAAGAGGCGGCTATGTTTAGAGTGTAAGCTCTGATACCATGTTGAGCGGTGAGAAGCACAATCAGTGTCCTTCTCTGTGTATTGCGTTATCAATATATACTAGTACAAATGTATCTCGCGAATCAATCATAATAATTACAGAATATAGAGTTTCCTATTCTATCGGTCATATCGTCTTGCCACCAAAGAAATCTTTTACGGTCAAAGGGTAATGAGTTCCTGAATCTCCTCAATTTAAACATTTATTGCCTTATCTACTTTCACACCATACTCTAACAATGAATAGATTTAATCATTTTGGAATTGTGAACTTTCAATTTAAAACAAATTAACAATAAAGATTTATTCATTTTTTGTATATAGTTTAAGATAACTTTCAATTTTTAATATTAGACTATGTTTCTTCATTCGAAATGATCATCCTTTAAATTCAACTAGATTTTGATCCACGTTTTTTAAAGCATGATATGTTTTATTGTGAAAAATTTCACTAATAATTAACAAATATTTTGTTAATTTGAAAGAATTTGTGTATTTAAATATTTTTGCTTTTAAATCAATGTATTAATGTATATTGTTTGAGAACATGAATAGTATTATAAAGAAATGAATATTACTGATTTAATGTACTTTTAACTATAAAATAAAAATAAAAATATTTTTAATTTAAAAACTTACAAAATAAAGATTAGATCCAACACAAGGTTTATACTTATAGATTTAGTTTGTTCAGATAAATATCAACAATGCCAATTTTAGTCTGGATCAATAGGATCTATTTGGACTATTGTACGTGTAGATCAAAACCAAATATACAATCATCCTAAACAACGATAAAAATTTAACTCGATTAAATGTTGTTGTTATCTATATATATTGTAAGTCTGTAACCAAAAAATGAGAAATTTACTTCTAGAAGCACATTTCAAGTTTCCAATTACCTAAAAAGACACATTAGGTTTAGAAGATATTTTTTCTTATTGAATTGTCCAATTTATTCCCCAGCCATGTGCAAGTGTGTTTGGTTGGATTAAACCAAACGAGAACATTAAAAATAATTAGTTTGTTTCTTTTTTTCTTTTTTCTTCTTTTTCCAATTTATGTTCATTTTTATAAATTCTTAAATCAAGCAATCTCTCAAAAATTCTCTATTTACTCAGATCCAAAAATTGGGGTTCCTAAACTCACTAATCAAGAATCCAATCTTCTAATAATCTCTCGCCCTTAACTTGTTTTCTCTCTCCCTCTCTCTGTTTCATTTCTTTAATGATTTCTCATCGTTTGGTTTTGTGATAAAAATATTAGCCCTGCGAGTTTGGTTTTTCGAAACTGAACCGAACCAAACCGTCGGTTTTCGGTTAATCGAAAGTTTGAAAACAAATTCTGAAATTAACCGAAATTAAATTAGGTTCGGGTCGGTTCAGAATTCGGTTATTTCCGGTTTTCATTTTATTTCCGAAATTAATGGATTCTTTATAATATTTATGGAACCCCCCCCCCCTCCAATTTTTTCGGTTACACTCAGTTATTTTCGGTTAAATCGGGTATTTTCGATTTCTTCTGAAAAAATCCAAATTTATCAGTTAAAACAAACACAAAACCAACATATAATTGTTCATCTTTCTGCAATCTAACAAAAAAAAAAAAGAAAAAAGGTCCAACCTTCTAAATATATCTATTTGCAATACACACTTCAAAGAAACATAATTCATATAATTCCAGAAACGTCTCATAATGTCCAACAAAGCAGAAAGAGTAAACAAACAAAAATATAGGAAAGTAAAGGTCACCATGAGGCTCGCACTGAAACCTGCAACTTGTTGAAGTAAAAAAAATCAGTGAAGAAAACAGAACAATGCACAAAAAACACTAAATCGAATTAAGCAACAGAAGAACATTACCTCTAATTATATGATTTTCATGAAATTTTCAGAGTACCTACACAATGAAAAATAAAAACAGTAACAATCAGCATTGAGAATATATGAAATATTAAAGCAAGAAGCCAACAGATTACCTAGTGACTCCTGATTCAATTCCCTCTCTTAGTAGTTCATCATTATCTTCACAGCCTCACATCTATATAATAAGATGAAAAAACCAAGCCCAAGAGAAAGGGAGTATCAACCGACAAACACAAGACACTCATTAATTGACTAAACCTTCGACATTAACCCACCCTAAATTTCTAAATATCAAATTCATCCCAACTCATTATTCAAGACACTCTCACACTGATAACTGTTTCATCTTTCAAGCCAAATCATAACCCCATGATTGATTTCGACAAAAACCCATAACACCCAAACCAATCGCAAACTCAAACCCTATACTAAATATCGATAAACAAACCCTAAGAGACACTGTCAACTTAATAATCAATTCATCATTCGATCCAAAGCATAGACCCCTAACTGATTTCGACAAAAACCTTAACTCCCAAATTGATCGCAAACACGAAACTAAACCGATGAAGTACACAGAATTACATATGTGAGTGAAGAACCTACCTTGGGGTTGGAAATATGTGAGAATCAGACGAAGAAGAAGAGATTGCTAGGGTTTAGAACTGACGAAGCGAAGGCATGGGTTTGAGAGAGAGAGAGATCGACTGATTATGTTTCTTAGGTTGAGCCGACATATAAGGTTAATAAAAGGTATATATAGGTAGGTTAAATTTCGGTTAACCGATCGGATATCATGAATCGAACCAAACCGAGACACTATCCGAACATTTTTAAAATATCTTCCGATCGCTTTGTTCTTGATAACCGATCAATAACCGAATTCTACAATGTTTGGTTTGGTTTGGTTCGGTTCGGACAATTCGGTTCGGTTAAGAATCCCAGGCCTAAAAAATATCAAATTTATGATGTATATGGACGATGATGGATCTCTGTGATGGAGATGTATATAGATGAATCTATGTGCCGCCTCTGTCATCAACGCTGTGGCTTCAGTGGCGCATATCAAAGCCAGATTCTGAGATGAATCGAAAAGGGACACAACAAGTACTTTCGTCGTCGACACCGCAGTTTTAGTGGCGAGTGTCTTGGGCGAGGGAGGAAGAAGCTGGGGGAGAAGCATGAATGACGATGGCTAGCAATTTTAAACTCTGTTGTGGAGAGGATACGGGACAGATGTGACTGCTATGGATAGAGGATGTGTGGATGCGATCGGTGTGGACAACAGTTGTGTGGTTGTGGTCGCTATGGACATGGAGTTGGAGTTAAGGGTGAATTCGTCAGATAAGATATGGATAACAATGAAGATCCACTTCTAAGGCTTCCAAGCCGTAGTTTCAGTGACGTATGTCTTGAGAGATGGAGGAAGAAGCTGGAGGAAAGGACAAGTCTGAACTCTGGTGTGGAGAGGACGACACGACAAATGTGGCTGTTGTTGATAAAGGATGTGTGGATGTGATCGGTGTGGACGATAGTTGTGTGGATGTGGTCGCTGTGGACATAAAAGTTATGGTCAAAGGCGAATTGATAAGATAAGAGGTGGTCAGATGCGATATAGATAACAATGAAAATCCCATATGTGTCTTCCATATTTTGGGTATTTATGAGATTCATATAAAATGATAGTTTCTATATTTTGTAAAAGTTGTTGTTTCTTTTTGTTTTATACAATAAGATTTTGTTTATATACTCTTTTGTTTAAAAAACCAGAATAATGATCTATTAGTAAAATTGTCAAACTAAATTATAAAACTTCAAAATTGTCAAATCTTTTTCCAAAATATTTACATAAACTTTTTTACCAAAAATATGCATCTACAAAAAGATTATCCACTAAATTAATAATAATATTTTTAATCAAAAAATAATATGTATACATATGGATACCAAAATGAAAAGAAAAGAATATATTACTTTATACATATATATTTATATATTTTTCTATATTCAAAATATGAAATAATGATGCATAGAAATATTGGGAGCATACATTTTGTTTTTAAATGAAGAAATCCAAAGAAAGAAAAAATTGCACATCTCTCCACTTATTTGATTGTCCTCTTAAACCAACTAACATTTACATTGAGGTAAAGTCTTTTTCCTCCAAAAAAAGACAGCTGTACATATAGTGTGTATCAACTTAACAATGTATCTTTCAACGCAAAAACAAGTCGGAATGTGATCTTATATGTAAGTCTCTCCCAAAAAAGCCATAGATTACATATTCTGAAATAACTATAAAAATCTTATGAATACTATAGAGACATCTTAATTCTATATAAAACCTCCAAGTGGATGGAAGTGTCTATCAATTACCCACTTTATATCTTACAAATCAAAATACAAACATATAAAATATTGTCATATATAAACTATCATTATCACACAAGTGTCCACTACAAGTACGGGGCTACACCTCACTTTTATTTGAAAAGCTTAAAGAACACAGCCATACAAGCAGAAATAGTAAATATTTCTGAAATAAGATGATTTTTGTCGTCTAGGCTGATCTGTATCGCTCTGAAACTTTCATCATGTGCTCAATTTGTTTCTCTCTATCAGGTATACATTCCCTCACGCTCTCAATATCTTTCAGATTTTTGATCCATCTGTTTAGCTCTGGAAACTTTTCCTCTGGAATCACATCTATTCTCATACCTTCCCAAAGCTGAGCCAAACAAAACGGGATTATACTTCCTGCGACCATGTCCACAAATCCGATTGTCTTGCCACCGAAGTAATTTTTTCCAGTGACTTCCTTCTCAAGAAACGCAAACATTTCTCGAGCCTCTTCAATAGCAACATCTCTACCCTTCTCTGCTTTTACTAGGGACCTGAATCCTACAGTTAGAATCTGCAAGATCAAAAACAAAATGTTATTTTACCTTTTATAGAATGTTGATTCTCAAATCTTGTATTATTTAAATTACAATACATATTATAAATTAGCATATATTTTGTTGGATATACCTGCTCATCGACGAATTTGGCCCAGAAACGAGCCATGGCTTTCTCATAGGGATCTAGAGGTAGAATTGGATTGTTCTTCCATGTTTGGTCGATGTATTCGAGGATTAGATGTGACTCGGGTAATATTTTATCGTTGTGGACAAGAACAGGAACCTTCTTGTGAACAGGGTTTAGCTCAAGAAGCAAAGGACTCTTGTTGGGCAAGGCTTCCTCCAAGTATTCGTATGGTATGTTTTTGAGTTTGAGAGCCATCTCGACCCTGCGACTGAAAGGGCTTGCCCAGCACCCTAGAAGCTTTACTTTTCCCTCCGCAGCCATTCGATCTCTCTGGTTTTACTCCTGTTTCTTTAGTAATGTAACTCCTCTATTTTTCTTTCGATAGTTTCTGTTTTGTTCACTTGACTGATTACTAATGTAATCTTTATAAATAAATAAAAGATATCTTGAGCAAAAAACCAGAAAAGAGTATATCTTGTACAGCAAACAAGGGATTATTTAAACGTAAGGACGTCATTGCTAACGTAACTCCTGTGATTATTTTAATAAAATGTATGACACTTAGCGTTTCTAATCTTCAGACAGATAGAAATTAAGAGCCATTATATATTTAAATGTATATTAATCATAGTGTACCTTGATTTTCTTACCTGCTTAAAGTACTAGTTTGTCTTTAACTGTGTTGTATGGAAACTAGGTTGAAAATTCGTTTTACGTTTCGAAAACGTTTTAGAATCAGAATCTCTTAGAACCCCGCATAATTTATTAGAAATTCAGTTTCTTAAAATTTTTACTTTGGAAACTTACGTTTTTATTTGAAAACTCGCAATTATGTTTTGGAAACACTTCATAAACTTTTTTTATTTTAGAATTTTGTTTATAAATAATTAATAAATATAAGAATCAATTTATTGTTTTAAATAAGTTCAAAAACAAACTAATTGAAAGAGCATAAGCAGAAGATTTGGTATTATAATCTTCGTTTTCTATCTAGTCGTAGTCTTGCATACAAATATGGTCCCAATCATATGTGAGATGTTAGAGGTGATCAATTTGTTTCACTAGATGAGATTAATAGAAACTTGAAATTGAGGATCTTTTCTTGATAAACTTGAGTTGGAAGCGGTAAAATAAAATTAAAAATGATCAGATATGATTTTTATCTTTCATCAACCTATTTAATATTTAAATATTAAATTTTTGTTATTTTGAAATTTTATTTGATTTTGATGTTTAATAATGACTATTTTATTTTTCGTATGATTATATAGAAGGTCTATTGATTTATTTGTATTCTTAAATACACTAAACATAATTGAAATTGAATTCACATATTAATAAATTATATGTATATATATGTTTACATATTTATAGATGTTTTCAAAACGTTTCCTAAACAAAAAAAAAATTAAAAATAAAGTATTCACGTTTCAAAACGTTTCGTTTCTGGTATCCATTTCTGACTCCATGTAACCTAGATCTTTATTTTGTTGTAAACTTGAGAAAAGATTTAATGCAAATCTGAGTTTGTAATGCCAGTATGCCAAACCTAAAATTTACCAATACAAAGCACCGGTGGTCTAGTGGTAGAATAGTACCCTGCCACGGTACAGACCCGGGGTCGATTACCTGCTGGTGCAGTTAGAGCAATGATGATATTAGGCTAAAGCGATGGTTGGGTCCATCGTATTCCTCTGATCAATCAGATGAGATTTGCCACACCCTGAGCTCTTTTCTTTTTTTGTCTTTTCTTTTTTCATACAAAAAAAAAAAAGTAAAGTACCAACACGCTTCAATTGGTAAAATACCGTATCGCGTACAAAAACTTGGGGTTACAAAAAAAATACAGGAAAGCTCTACAGATTACATTACTGTTACATACAACATTTTCTTAGTGTTGAGTAAAATTCAAAAACAAGATAAACAATAAACCAGGTGAGAGTGAGACAGCGCGCGGTTGGTCTAGGTCAGGAATTAAATCCTCTCAAATAAGAAATTTATCTTATCAATCCACCTAGCCAACATTAGATAACTTACAAAAAGCAAAAAGTGAAGATAACTCGAATTTGCTTAGACATGGTTTGTGTGGTCGGGTAAAAAATGTGAAGATTGTCTTCTGACATGGCTTGGAGTTTTGACTTAGATCCTCTAGAGGCTCTAGCTTACTATAAGCACAGTTTATTATTGCCGAACTTCCTAACGCAAATCACACAAAGTGTAACACGGGGTATAATTACAAGAAAGTACTTACATCTATATCAAATACCCAAACTATAAAGAAAAGTAAAAAGTTCACTATTCTAAGCGAACACATAAAAATGCAGGTTGCAAAACATCTCAGGTCCACTATACTCATTTTTAATGCTGACGCTGGTGAGGACATATCAGTCTGGTCATTTGCCATCCTGATACCCAGTACCAGTAGGATGGTAATTTTCTGCGTACGGTCGTGGCATAACTTGTCGAAAAACCAGATAAATGATTTAGTTAAGATACTAGGATGATAATGAGATGATGTTTAAGATTTGATTTTTCATAGTACACTAGAGAAAGTTCATAATCAGACAGATTTAAGCCCAAGTTATTTATTTAATTATTCCATATCAAACAGGTACATCACCTCCAAACTCATAAGCAGACGACTCTTAGAACTAGAAAGACCACAAGACAAACAAAAGATAAAACGCTTTGTACGAAAAACTCAAACCAGAGGATCCTTGAAACTCAAATCAGCCAGAGATCTGAATAGACTTGACATCAGCCTTCTTCGTCTCCGCCTTAGGCACCGTCACAGTCAAAACACCATTCTCCATCGCAGCCTTAACCTGATCCATCTTCACATTCTCAGGAAGCCTAAACTTCCTCGTGAACTGCCCGCTCGACCTCTCAACCCGGTGCCACGTGTCGTTCTTATCCTCTTTCTCCACGTGTCTCTCTCCGCTGATCTTCAACACGCTATCATCCTCTATCTCCACCTTCACCTCCTCCTTCTTAAGTCCAGGCAAGTCCGCTTTGAACACGTGCGCCTCGGGAGACTCCCTCCAGTCCACACGTGCGTTCACAATAGCAGAGTTTTCTTGGGAAAACGAGGAAGCTGAGGGGAAGTCTTTGAACGGATCCCAAACATCGAGAGAGAAGGGATCGAAGAAGCTGTTGCCGCCACGTCTGTTGTTACCGAAGAAGCTCGGAATCATCGACATTTTAAGTTAATTTTTTTTTCAAAGTTGCTGGTTTTTCTTGAATTTGATTCTTACTCTTGAGAAAACAGAGAAGGTCGAGGAATCTATTTATAGGAACCGAACGAAATATCTCGACTTCTCGAAATTGTTCCCCACTTCCACTGATTCTCTCCAACTTATTAGAAGCATCTAGAAGTCTCAAGACAAAAAAAAAATATCAGGAGAATCTGGAAAGTTTGTTTCACGGGCTTTTATGGACTTACTAAATAAGACAATTATGGGCTATATTAGATAGAACTAGGCCCTGTCTTAGTTCTCAGATTATAGTTTGACATAAGAGCGTCCACATCAATGAATCAATGAACCCCTCTGGGGTTCATTGAATCAATTTTTTATTATCAAAATTTTTCTGTTTTCTTTTTGATTTTCTTTTTTTTTAAAAAAAATATCTAAACCAATTTCGGACCGTCACGTGGTGAACCTCAGGAGAGAGGGATTCACCCGAGAGAACTTTAGGAGAGAGGGATTCATAGGTTTTTGTTATTTTATTATTTTTTTTTTTGATTTCCGTGTGAACTCCCCCCATAAACCCTCAATGGGGGTGCTCTAAGTACCCGTTCTAATCTAACGTGGTGTTGAGCTTTTTGAAATTTTCTTTTCTAATGAGAAATTAATTAGTTGCTTGGTTCGAAGTTTGAACTTTGGAACCGAGTTGATCTTTTATCTAAAACCCAAAAAAGATGATCATTACTGTAACCAAGTGATTCTTTGAAACTGAACCAATATAACCAACAAGGTATGACTCGTATGCATGAGTGAACTGATGAGTGGTTTATGTAAAAACTGATTATATCGTTTTGTTAAGATTGATAACTGTAATCATTACACAACTTAAACATTCTGTGAAATAATTTAACGACGAAACTAATTTAAAACTTGACCAATCTATATAATAATGGGGCAGTTTGATCTCTTCAAAGTCTGTCATGTCAGTGTCTTGTGTGGGCCACACCTTTGATTTGCTCAAATTTGTGTTGTTTTATTTGTCTCGCCTGCCGTTTTTGTTATCTTATGTCCCTGTGTGCCGTTTTTATGTTTTGTGTCCGGGACTCTTCCCATTCCGGCGAGTCGCTTCTTCAAACTCGATCTCTTCGACTCCTCTCCCAATTTTTTTCTGTAAAGCCCTAATTAAGTTCTCCTTTCTTGTCTCCGCCTCTTTTTCATGAGAAGTTTCCTCCTTTATTCTCGTAAGGACTCTCCTAGGTTCCATCTTTGAGGGTGCATACCCTAACTTTACAATCACATGAGAGTTCATCGACAATCAAAAGATTAGTTACGAGATTTCTTCAATTCCATAAAAATGCAGAACATATTGAGCTCGGCTCCATCGCTAGAAGCGATACTAGAATGGCTCCAGAAGAAAATGGGATACCGTAGCAAATCCCACGTGCCTTCTATTGATTCCATAAGGAAGATCTGTAGAGGGAATATGATACCAGTTTCGGGGGGGGGGGGGTTGATTAACCGAGTGAAGTTAGAGAAGACTGTTCAGAACATTAGGCGTAACATCATTGTCCATGGAAGTAGTAGTATTAGTGGCAGTGATGTTAATGTGAATCCAGTGAAGGAGGAGAGTAAGGTTAAAGGGAGGAGGAAAGATAAGGCCTTGGCTGGGTAGACTTGAGTGGTGTTGAAAGCAAAGAGGCTGCATTGCGTGAAAGAGAAGTGGCTGTGAAAGAGGTGTAGAGGTTGAGGAATCTTGTGAGGAGGCAAAAGAAGGATCTTAAAGCGAGGATGTTAAAGGTCTCTAGAGAGGAAGCTGGAAGGAAGAGGAAGCTGGAAGGAGGAGGAAGCTGAAAGGAAGAGGATGCTTGATGAGAGAGCTAATTACAGGTTTTGATTTAGCCACCATTGTGCTAAAGTATTGGTGTTTGGTTATGTATCTTAGAGTTTTTGAATCATTCTGTGAGATTTTATTCTTTTTTTCAGGCATAAGCAAGTAATGCTTGAAGGTTATGATCAGCAATGTGATGAAACATCAAGAATATTTGCGGAGTATCACAAAAGGCTACAAATTTATGTGAATAAAGCGAGGGCTGCACAGAGGTCGAGTTTAGATTATTTGGTGATTTATCGAGAAGAATCAAAGCAAGTTAATGTACGAAAACATGGAAACACAATCACACCGTGATTACCATGGTGAGTATAGAGGAAGGGGGCAAGGAGGATGAGGATAGTACAAAGAAAAGGGACGCGGTGGCAGATCTTACTAGGATAGCAGAGATCCAACAAGGGTCATATGCTTTAGATGCGATAAGAGGGGCCACTTCGCAGCAACCTGTCCCAACAGACTACTTAAGTTGTAGGAGACACAAGAGATCAAAGAAGATGATACACAAGAAGCTGATGGCTTAATGATGAATGAAGTAGTATATCTTAATGAAACAAACGTACAACAAAAGGTATTTGAGTCAAGTATGGATGGTGATAAGATTTGGTATCTCGATAATGGCGCCAGTAATCATATGACTGGAAACAAAAACTATTTCAAAAGTATCGATGAGACCATTACATGGAAGGTAAGGTTTGGAGATGACACAAGAATCAACATTGAAGGCAAAGGTTCCATCTTGTTTATCACACAAACCAGGGAGAAAAAACTACTATCCAGCGTCTACATACCAAATCTAAGAAGCAATATAATCAGTCTTGGCCAAGCGACGGATTCGGATTGTGATGTAAGAATGCGAGAAGACTACCTTACGCTGCATGATAGACACAAAAACTTGATTGTGAAAGCAATTAGATAGAAAAAGCCGACTCTACAAGGTTCTTATGGAAGTAGGTCATACAAAGTGTTTACAACTAGAGGTGCAGAACGAGTCCACAATATGGCATGCGAGTTTAGGTCATATTAGCTTTGACTCAATGAAGTTAATGATACAAAAGGAGCTAGTTCTAGGTATACCAAAGATCGAAGTGGAGAAGGAAACATGCGAAACTTGTTTATTAAGGAAACAAACACGTCAAGTCTTCCCAGAGGCAACCACTTATCGAGCTAAAGAGAACCTAGAACTCATTCACGGTGATATGTGTGGGCCAATCACACCGCCTACAGCAGCTGGGAATAAATACATATTTGTGCTTGTCGGCGATCATTCACGGTATATGTGGACAATGCTTCTGAAAGAAAACAGTGATGCGATTAAAAGGTTCAAAAGCTTCAAAGAAACGGTGGAACAAGAGACGAAGACGAGTATCAAGACGTTTCGAACGAACAGAGGTGGTGAGTTCACCTCTACGGAGTTTACAGATTTCTGTGCGAATGCATGAATTCAGCGACACATAATGGCTCCCTACACTCCTCAACAAAACGGAGTGGTAGAGCGACGCAATATAACCTTAATGGAGATGATGAGGAGTATTCTAAAGAACATGAGTATGCCAAATTATATGTGGGGTGAGACTATAAGACACACTACATATCTCATTAATAAGGTGGTCACAAGGAGTCTAAACGAGCAAACTCCTTACGAAGCATTCAAAGGTCAAAAGCCAAGTGTAAAACATCTAAAAGTTTTTGGATGTCTTGGATATGCAAAGGTTGATGCACCACATTTGCGAAAACTTGATGATAGATCAAAGACCCTTCTGCATCTCGGAACGGAACCTGGCTCCAAAGCATACATGTTACTTGATCCTACAAGTAGAAAGATAGTAGTTTCAAGGGATGTTGTGTTTGGCGAGCATAAAACCTGGAAGTGGAATAGTTCTACTTCAGAAATTGAGAAAACATGGGAGTTTACAATCAAACTCAGTACTTTTGGGAACCAAGGCGTGCTAGACATTGTAACTGAAGAAAAAACAGGGGAACACAATGATCACAATATCCCACGAGATGAAGAAGCAACCAACAGTACAAACGGGAAACAAGAACTTGAAGATGTGATCGCAGAAGACTCAAATCTCAGACGATCAACAAGAACCACCAGACCACCAAATTACTTAAGTGGTTACTTATGTCTAGCGGAAGTCAAAGGTGAACGTCTTCTTTTAGTTATAAACGAAGAACCATATGACTTTGGGGAAGTGATGAAAGAGAAGGTGTGGAAAGACGCTTGTGAAGATGAAATATCATCTATTATTAAGAATAAAACATGGGACTTGGTGGATCTATCCAAAGAAACAAAGTCAATAGGATTCAAGTGGATATTTAAGGTAAAACGCAACTCAGATGGGACTATAAACAAGTACAAATCAAGATTAGTAGTAAAGGGATATATCTAAAGACACGGTATTGATTTTGAGGAAGTCTTCGCACCAGTAGCTTGTATAAAGACTGTTAGACTCATCATAGCCATCACAGCCAGCAAAAGATGGGAAATATATCACTTGGATGTCAAGACGATTTTTCTCCATAGAGATTTGAAAGAAGATGTATATGTTAAGCAACGAGAAGGCTCTGTGGTCAGTGAAAACTAAACAAAGTTCTCAAGGATCTTGGTTTCACAAAGTGCTGAGTACTATCTGGCAAAATATGTCCAGAAACCAGACCAGCCTCTACTACATCAGTGATAGTATGATATAAGCTAAGATGATGTTTAAGATTTAATTATTCATTAGTACACTGTTTTTCCAATAGAAAAGTTCATAATCAGACAAATTTCAAACCAAGTTATTTATTTATTTTTTTTTTTGGTCAAAACCAAGTTATTTATTTAATTATTCCATATCGAACACGTACATCATCTCCAAACTCATAAGAACATGACTCAGTGATACCACTACCAGAACTAGAACATGACCACAAGACACACAAAAGATGAAACGCTTTACACGAAACCGGACTAGAATATAACGGAACTCAAATTAGCCGGAGATTTGAATAGACTTGACATCAGCCTTCTTCGTCTCCGCCTTTGGCACCGTCACAGTCAGAACACCATTCTCCATCGCAGCCTTAACCTGATCCATCTTCACATTCTCAGGAAGCCTAAACTTCCTCGTGAACTGCCCGCTCGACCTCTCCACACGGTGCCACGTGTCGTTCTTATCCTCTTTCTCCACGTGTCTCTGACCACTTATCTTCAACACGCTATCATCCTCTATCTCCACTTTCACTTCCTCCTTCTTAAGTCCAGGCAAGTCGGCCTTAAACACGTGCGCCTCAGGTGTCTCCCTCCAGTCCACACGTGCGTTCACAATCGCAGAGTTCTCCCGAGAGAAGGAGGAAGATGATGGAAAGTCCTTGAACGGATCCCAAACGTCAAGAGAGAAAGGATCGAAGAAGCTGTTGCTTCCACGTCTGTTGTTACCAAAGAAGCTCGGAATCATCGACATTTTCGATCGCTGTTACAAGAAGTAGATTGCTGGAATCGATTGCTTTGTTCTCTTAACTGATAATTTTTTCAACTTCTGAGAGATCAGTGAGCATCGAAGAATCTATTTATAGGAACATATAGAAATCTCTGGAGCGTACACGAAAACGAAACATCTGGAGGCTACAATGCAAAAGATGTGTGAATCCAGAAACTTCCAGTAGGTCCGCGGAGGAATACAAGTTTCTTTCGTTCTTTTTCGTGTCTTAGCCTTAATGGGCCTTAATGGGCTTTATTAGTAAGTCTACACTGGGCTTAATCGAACTTGTCGGTTATTATGAATTATGATAATTCTTTGGTCTAAAAGAAGCAGCTGGAAATCCAAGGGTGGGTAGAGAGAGAGAGAGAGAGATCCAGCAAGAGTGGGGTCAAAATGTGTGACGAAACTCCCGCGTCCGTTAAAGAATCTCCATCGTACGATTCTTCCTTTTTTACTAAATCCGTCGGCCACCAAAAAGATGATCTCTCTCTCTCTCTCTCTTTTCTTTTTTCCCCTAAATTAAAAGAATTAGTAATTAACTACTCCACTAAAATCTCTACACTCTCTACTTGTCCCCCCTCCTTTCTCTCTCTATCTACAACAACAACAACAAAGAAACAATCTTTCTCTCTCTCTTTAGTTACTCTCTACGCTTTTAAGCGCTTCGTAGGTGATAGGGTCAGCATCGTCGGCGCGATTCCCGGTTCCTGATTTCACGGGTGATTAGGGATCTGTTTCTCCCCTCCTCGTAATTGCTGTTACTCACCCCCCTGATTAGTTCCATGGCTGCTTCCTCTGGTTTACACTGATTCTGACCAGGTACGGATTCGATTTTTTCCTCTTGTCTCCCACACTCCCAATTACTTCCTTTTTTTTGTAAGACCCAATGAATGTTTTAGGACAAATGTTTGTAATCTCAATGTTATCTTATGAGTTAAGTGTGAAAAATGGGTTCTTCGATCTTGTCACTTAGGCCTCTTTAGTCACTTCCTGTCTTGTCTTTTTTTTTGTACTGGTAAAGTTGGAAGCTTTAAGAAGAATCTCTTCAAGAAATATGTAATGTAGGTTTGTCTTTTGTACTCAGCTTTATCTTGTAGTCAGATCTCATGGTCATTAGCTGTTTCCATCTCATCATTTTTTTGTTGTTGATTCTTCTGTGAAGTTTTGGTTTACACTCTCTCTGTGTGTGTGGATAAGATTGTAAAATTTTGTATGGACAGGAAACCCTCCAGAGCATTGTTAAGGTTCTTCAGCTGAATCGGAGACTTTAAGGAATGATCTGAGTGAATAAACGTTACAAATGGAGTCTCGTTTTGAGCTTAAGAAGGGTTCAAGTGATAGACCACCTCCCTTTGTACCTGCTGAGAAGAAGGAAACCCAAAAATCATATCTACCTGCTAAGTTCAGAGACGAAAAACGCGCCTTATCTTACTCCGATTTCCACCGAGAGATCACCAAAAAGGTTGAAGACGTATGTCCCAAACGCCTGGAGAATCGACTCAAGTCACGGATAGGTAGAACCGCTTCGGGTGAAAGAGACCTTGTGAAGTACAAGTCCTATGTGCCCAGTTATGTTAAGAAATGTGACAAGCCTGAAGTTAGAGACGTTAAAGCTGGTTCAGGTGATGTAAGGATTAGACAGATTGATAATAATAAGCATACAAGGTCTTCCTTGTCCAACACAAGCACATCTTCATCGCTTTGGACTGATGAATCATCCACTGATTCCAGCAAAGGTCTGTGTGGTTCTCCTTTCCGCAAAAGGATTAATCACCCTCCTCTGCAGTATTATCTCATGTCATCTAAGCCAGGAGATTGCTCTCAAGACTCCGAGCAGCCGCCTCTAGATAATGGTCAAGGGGATGCCACTAAAAGAGATGTTGTGCAGTTTCATCAAAGCCCACGTGGAACTGGTTTCTTACAGAATGAGAAGAAAGATTCTGATGTTAAGATTGTTCCTAAAACCAGAACTTTCTTGAGTCCATCAAAGCCTGAGAGTCCTTCTTCAGCCACGAGGGTGATATCAAGGAATCTAGCCGATGATTTTAAAAAGAAAGGAGAGAAGCTGGATGAGAGAATCCGAAACCCTCGTGTTCATGACATGTTTGGTAAAGAAAAGCCTGCTGCTGCTGTGTTTGTACCAGGGATTGTTTCTCAGAAACAGATTCTCGGTTTGTCCAAATTCTATGACTCAAAAGTGTTGCTAGCTGAGCGAGTAGCAGAAGCTAATAGAAAGGGGTTCCCAGAGAGGTTAACGTATGGACAAGTTTCAGTTCTGGACTCTGATCTAGGCCATTTCCGACGTGAAGCTGATAATGGAAGTAAGCCGTTTCTAAAGCGTATCAACTTCTTGAGTGCAGAGAAAAACAGATCAAGCTCAGCTCCACGATCAAGAAAGTCTGAATCTAGTCCCTCCAGGAGCAGGACTTTAGACAGAAGGTCAATAGAAACACTGCACAAACAGTCAGATCAGAAGCCAGTTAAAGTTGTACAAGAAAGAGCAAGGAGCATTTCACCGTTTCGCCGACTCAGCTTCAGCATTGGGAAGTCAAGCAAAAACTCCAACACCGGAGACGCTCAGACTCCTTCTCACATAAGCACAGCTAATTTAGACAATCGTTCTACGTCTTCTCTCAGTGAAAGCTCGTCTTTGGATAGCACTAGTGCAGCAAACAGAGGCAGGTCTAGTCCCTTGAGAAGGTTGCTTGACCCGCTGATAAGACCAAAATCAAGCTATGCTTGTAGGTCTCCTGAGCCATCACTAAAGGGTGCACAGAAGCATATTCTTTCTGACAATCAATCATCTCCTTCAAGCCCTCTGTCAAGAAACGGGAAATCTTCAACTACTGTTCAAGCTCTTTTTCGTGTGACGTCTAAGAATGATCAGCCACTCTTCACTTTCGCGGTCGACAAGGAACAGAGTATTACAGCAGCCACAATAAGAAAGCAGATGATTCCTGAAAAGGAAGAATGTGGGCATAAGTACACGTTTTTCACTGTTCAGGAAGTGCAGAAGAAAAATGGAAAATGGATGAACCATAGTAGGAAGGTACAAGGGCAAGAGTACACATCCAACATTGTAGCTCAGATGAGAGTCTCGGGTTCTGTTGATAACTTCTTAACCAGAGAATATGTACTCTTCGCATCCGAGTCACAGCAGCAGCGGGCTAATGATCTAGCTGCCATGGTGATCAAGATCCCGACCTCAACCACAAATGGAGATTACTTTGCAGACGTTAACACAACAGTGGTGCTTCCTAGTGGGATTCACAGTCTCCCACACAAAGGAGGGCCTTCCTCGCTGATCCAAAGATGGAAATCAGGTGGTTCATGTGACTGTGGAGGTTGGGACATGGGCTGCAACCTTAAAATCCTCACTAATGAATCTAACAAACCAGAAAACCTCTCTGCCTCCACTTCAGATGCCTTCAAGCTTTTCTGTCAGGTTTATAAATCATCACAAAAACTGTGAATGCATATTAAATGTGAAACTCATTAATCTGTGCTTTCTTCTTTTTGCTTGCAGGGAGGATTACATGATAGTAACAACCAACCATTCTTGAGTTTCACTCCATACAGAGAAGGTGTTTACGCTGTTGAGTACAATACATCACTCTCACTCTTACAAGCATTCTCCACATGTATAGCTGTCAACGAAGGACGGAACCTGTTAAAGACAGTGGAACCAAACACTTCGCGTGAGGTGTCATCGAACGAAAGGTTGAAGACATGTTCAGGTCCTATTGAAGGTGAGGCTCCGGGAAAGTATGTCTCACACCCACCTGTGTCTCCTGTTGGGAGGGTTTAACTAGTTACTTGCTTCTCTAAATAATCGGCTTATATATATATAAATATTGTTAGTCTATGATGGGTTCGTATTTTCTATGTAATTACCGTGTGGGAGTAGTTTACGTTATATAGATCATTTTGTGAAACCTGTTTTAATTGAATGAACATCCATCCATTATTAATATTTAAGCAAATAAAACCACTTGTTTAGTTTATTCTTTTACTTTGTTGATCAAAACCTTCAGGTGGAGCCCTATCTAATTTAGCTTTTGTTTCAGTTTCTTATCATTATGTTAACGTCCGGCCACAAGGAGAATCCTATGATGAAGTCAACAATAGGTTAGCAGAACACAGCAAGAAGAAGATTGGCTCATTGACTCTGTATTAATCCCAATAAACTTAGATATCATTCATAGACGTTTGTTGTTAATCTCCATTACATGATGGTTCTCGGTAACATATGCATGCGTTTTTACAAAAAACAAAAAAAAACATATGCATGCGTTCCATCAACCTCCTCATTAGTTTGCACTCCAAGATTCTAAATAATTGACGATGACAGTGCTAAGCAGGGGTGTCTGAATGGAAAATGCGCAGGTTCAATGTACAAGCGTGTCTGAAGGGAAAATTCCTTCTCCAAAGAGGCAAAAAAGTATAATCATCCAAAGATATTTTGAAAAAACGCAGCGTTTTGGGAGAAAGGAGAAAAGGCGACACAAAAGGCGATTGAAGATTTCTCGATCTCCACTGTCTTCTCATCTGAGGAGATGGATTCGGGGGGGCTTCCGTCGGGTCGTCCGCCTCCGATCAATCAAGCGAAGGGTCCGTGGGTGGAAGCGGTTCAAGGGAAGCAAGTTTTGAAGAAATACACGTTTGAAATCTCGGAATCGGAAGGTAGAAAATCAATTGAAGTTCCTGTTGATGTTATTGAAAAGGCGAATCCACTGTGGGACGATTTTGTAATTGCGAGGTTCCTGGAAACAGCTCCTCATGTTGCAAAAGTCCACATGATTGTAAACAAGATTTGGGAATTTGGAGAGAAGAATCAAAAATTGGATGTGTATGAGATGGATGAGAATACGATGAGAATCAGAATCACTAATGAGAAGATCATAAATAAGATAGTTCGGCGTGGGATGTGGAACATAGCAGGGGTACCGATGGTGGTGTCGCATTGGTCACCGGTGGAAGATGGTTTAACGGCGGGTCTCATTCCTCTCTGGGTTCATGTGACTGGGATGCCTATGAACATGTACTCTTGGGAGGGATTGAGTTTTATCACAAGCGCGGTAGGAACTCCGGATCATTTACATCCAGAGACCATAGCATGTTCGAATTTCGAAGTTGCTAAGGTGTTTGTGTTAGCTGACTTATCTAAGGAGCTTCCGGAGAAGATTGATTACACGATGCAAGGCAAGGAGGTCATTGTTCAATTCACTTATCCGTGGCTGCCAGCCAAATGTGTGAAGTGTAAAATGGGGTCATTCTGGAACTTTTTGCAAAGAGGTAAAAGAAGCTGTTGTGGAGAAGAATGACAAAGATAAAGTTGCAGTGGAGATAGTGGAGGATGAAAAGGCAGAGGTGACTTCGGATAAAATAAATGAGGATGTTGTTATCGGGAAAGAGGATAATGAAGAGAAAGAAGAAGGTGAGATAGTTGGGGTAAAGAATACGGGAGACATGTCTAGTACTGTCCATAAGAATAAAGAAGTGGACCAGGAAAGGGACTGGGAGAAAGTGTATGTGGAAAAAGCAAGTCGAAGTCCAAAGTCACAGGATCTTCAGTTGACAATTGTGACTCCTTCTAGGTTTGCAGCATTAAGTAATGTTGTGGAGGATAATGTGGAGTTAGAGAAGGATGAGATTGAAGTAACTGATAAATCAGAGATTGAGGATGCGTTGGACACATATCAAAGAAGGATTGAAGAGAGTATTGAAGGGAAGAGGGAGTTCAAAAAAGGAAGAGCTCGTCCGAATCTTCCTAGGTTATCTAAGACTAATCATCGGGTAGTTCCAGGTAGGGATACTACCAAAAACTACTAATGTCTGGTTTTTTTTGGAACGTGAGGGGGTTTAATAAAATGACTAAGCATGATGTAGTTAGGAGTTGGGTTCGAGATAATAATTTTCTATTTGGAAGTTTGCTTGAAACAAGAGTTAAGGAGAATAAAGCTGAGAGGATTGTTAGTAGTGTTTTCAAGGATTGGGAGTTTATGTCTAATTATGAGCATAATAAATTGGGTAGAATATGGGTAGTTTGGAAGTCTTTGGTTAGAGTTACTCCGGTTTATAAAAGTGAGCAGATGATTACTGTCTCAGTGCTTCTTCCGGGGGATGATGAATTCTTATGCTCCTTCGTTTATGCTTTAAACACGAGGGAAGAAAGAAGAGGTCTATGGGAGGATCTTAAAGGGCATTACGATGCGCCTATGTTTAAGAATAAGAGATGGGCTATTATGGGAGACTACAATGAGATTATGGACATTGGAGAGCATTCAGAGTTTGAAAATTCTTCGAGTCGTTTCCTTGGTATGAGGGAGTTCCAGGAGGTGACAAGTGAGTGTAATTTGACTGATATGGCGTTTCAAGGTCCGCTTTTCACATGGTGTAATAAAAGGGAAGAAGGGTTGATATGTAAGAAGCTTGACCGTGTTTTGATTAATGAAGATTGGTTAAACAACTCGAAAGCCTACTGTGTATTTGAAGCAGGGGGATGTTCTGACCATCTGCGTTGCCGAATTCATTTTGGTTTAGAAGAAGAAAAGAAGAGGAAGCCTTTCAAGTTCACTAACGCTATTGCTAAGATGCCTGAGTTTCTTCCGTTAATTGATGATTTCTGGAAGGATCAGGAAGTGCTATTTCATTCTACGTCTGCTATGTTTCTCCTTACTAAGCGATTAAAAGCACTGAAGCAGCCTCTGAGGTTTTTAAGCAAACAAAAATTGGGAGATCTTCCGAAACGTACAAGAGACGCTTACTTGCTTTTATGTGAGAGGCAGAGATTAACTTTGGAGGCTCCGAATTCTGTTAATATAAAGGAAGAAGTTAAGGCTCATAAGGATTGGCAGAGATTAGCTGAGTTGGAGGAGGAGTTCTTGAAGCAAAAGTCAAAATTACACTGGCTAGAAGTAGGGGATGGCAACAACAAAGCTTTTCATGCTGCAGCAAAAGTTAGGGAGGCCCAAAACACAATTTATGAGATACAGAGTTCAGAGGGGGCTATTCTAAAGACAAGTGGAGAGATTAAAAAAGAAGCTATAGGTTTTTTTGAAAAGTTTCTGACTCTGCAGCCTACTGGATTTGCAGAACCGGATATGGAGCGCCTTACTGACCTGTTGGGATTCCGTTGCAATGAAGTAGATTGTGCAAAGCTGTTGAAAGAAGTTTCTAAGGAAGAAATTCAGAAGGTCTTATTTAAAATGCCATCAAGCAAGGCACCCGGGCCTGACGGGTTTACCACAGAGTTTTTCAAAGAATTATGGCCAATTATTGGTGAGGATATTACAGTTGCAGTGCAGTCTTTCTTTGTTATGGGATTTTTACCAAAGGGAGCCAACTCTACTATTTTAGCTTTGGTCCAAAGAAGAGTGATGTGAAGGAGATGAAAGATTATCGGCCTATTTCTTGCTGCAACGTACTTTACAAGCTAATATCGAAGTTACTTGCTAACAGGTTAAAGCTCATCCTACCAAAGTGTATAACATGGAATCAATCAGCTTTCATACAAGAGAGGCTTCTCATGGAGAATGTTCTTTTAGCTTCTGAGATAGTAAAAGATTACCACAAGGACTCCATTTCTCCCCGGTGTGCCATGAAAATCGACATCTCCAAGGCCTTTGATAGTGTGCAATGGTCTTTCCTCACTGCTACTTTAAAAGCTTTAGGGATCCCGGATAGATTCATTCACTGGATCTCTCTTTGCATCTCTACAGCTTCTTTTTCAGTGCAAGTGAATGGGGAGCTCGCAGGCTATTTTCAAAGCAAGAGGGGATTAAGACAAGGTTGTTCTCTATCTCCATATTTGTTTGTGGTTTGTATGAACGTCTTGTCCAGATTATTAGATGAAGCAGCTTCGAAGGGGAAATTTGGTTACCATCCAAAGTGTAAAAATCTGGAGTTGACTCACATTTGTTTCGCGGATGACCTGATGGTGTTTGTAGATGGGACTAAAAGCTCCATTGAAGAGATTCTCAGAGTGTTCGCTGATTTTGATAAAATGTCGGGTCTAAAAATCAGCTTAGAGAAGTCGACTTTATTTTTGGCTGGAGTTTCTACTAGGAAGCAGGAAGAAATACTTGATCATTTCCCTTTTGAGTCAGGTAAGCTCCCTGTACGCTATTTGGGTCTCCCGTTATTGACTAAGAATATGACGGTCCTTGATTATCTGCCTTTAATAGAGAAGATAAGGAGAAAGATTAGTTCTTGGACTGGTCGGTTTCTGTCCTATGCTGGTAGACTCCAGTTAATCAAGTCGGTTATCACTAGCTTAACTAATTTCTGGATGGCTGCGTTTAGGCTTCCTAGTGCTTGTGTTAAGGAGATTGAAAGGCTTTGCTCGGGATTCCTCTGGTCTGGTCCAGCATTGAATAATAAGAAAGTAAAGGTATCTTGGGCTGAGATTTGTAAGAAAAAGCAGGAGGGAGGATTAGGTATAAGGAGTTTAAAAGAAGTGAATCTTGTTTGCTGCTTGAAGTTGATTTGGAGAATAATATCTGCCAACTCGATGTGGGTTAACTGGATAAAGATCTACCTTATAAGGAAGAATTCTTTTTGGATGGTTAAGGATAGTACTCATTCCGGGTCTTGGATGTGGAAGAAGATACTGAAGTATAGAGAGTGTGCTAAGCGTATGTATAAGGTGGAGATTAAAAATGGTAAAAGGACATCATTTTGGTATGATAATTGGTCTTCTATGGGCTGTTTGAAGGATGTGCTTAGAGAAGGCAGTCACATTGATATGGGGATTTCAGGTTTTGCAACTGTTGAAGAGAGCTGGAAGCATAGGCGAAGATCTCATAGAGTGGAGATTCTGAATGCAGTGGAGGATGAAATAGAGAAGTGTAGAAGTAATAGAACGCTTGAGGAGGACATCTCGCTCTGGGTGAATGGTAGGGGAGTATATAAGAAGAATTTTTCTTCAAGGGAAACTTGGGAGGTTACTAGAGTGAAGCATCCTATATGTAATTGGCATGAGATTGTGTGGTTCAAATATGCAACGCCGAAGTTTTCTTTTATCCTTTGGACTGCAATGAAAGGCAGACTTGCAACCGGCGATAGAATGAGAAATTGGAAAGGTGGTTCATCGGTCTCTTGTGTTCTCTGCAATGATCCGTTAGAATCACTTGAACATCTGTTTTTCAAATGTGATTATTCGGCTCACATTTGGGAGATGCTGATGAAGGAGATCCTTAAAGATAGTTTTACTATTTGTTGGGAAGAGTTGTTGGTCATTATGAATGATAAATCGAGGAGCAGGTTGCAGGTTTTTCTCATTAAATACATGTTCCAGGCCACTGTGTACATGGTATGGCGAGAAAGAAATAGAAGGAGACACGGGGAAGCAAATACACCGGCTTCTCTATTGGTGAGACTCCTTGACAAGAATATGAGAAACAAGCTTACTTTAATACAGAGGGGGGGAGATGAAAGATTTGGTAATGGGATGCAGTTCTGGTTTGGGACAAGATTGGTAGAAAACCCAGTAGGAGTGAGTGCTGGGGCTCAGTAGGAGTGAGAGCTGAGTAGATGATGAGGTGTTTTTTTGGCTGGTTAAGCATGGAGATAGAGAAAACCCCAGTAGAAATGAGGGCTGGGTACCTAGTAGGAGTGAGAGCTAGGTTAGTGGTTGAAGTTGAGGCTATTATTTTGAAAGAGCTTTGGGTGTTTGGCGTCTGAAGTTGAGGTTTTTAACTAGAAGCTAAATGGGAGGTTGCTGAGGATTGGAAGGCTTAAACAAATGAGTATGCATTTTATTTGAGTTTAAATTTGTTTTAGAACCATATAAAAGGACACACATTGTTGTAACAAGGTTTTTTCTTTTGAATTAGATTTAACATTCAATTCAAAAAAAAGAAAAAAAAAAGTATAATCTTGAGTTTAAAAAATAATATGGTGCTGCCCAGGATCGAACTGGAGACCTTTTGCGTGTAAGGCAAACGTGATAACCACTACACCACAGCACCTGTTGCAATTGAGATTAGGTTAAATTTATTTAACATAATTTAGATAATAACCAAGAACGGTTGCAGAATTAGCATCGGTCACCAAACTGCTTTGGCTCTTGCATGGATTGCAAGACAAAGCTTTTATTAGTGAAACTGTACTCGTCACTATCTTTGCATCGTTTATCTTGTTGTCTTTTTACTTACTCACCCAAAAGATCAGATAAATGTACTATAATGTAGTGATTATTTTCAGATATCAAAACTCCATTCTTAGTTTAGCATTTGCTATTCACCCACTGTATCTACCCATTGGTCAAACTGCAGTGGTTGTTAATATATCTCTGAAATGCAGAAATGGCAGAGGGTTCTTGTGGACCTTCACAGACGCCATTACTTCCGTATAAAGGACGGAAAGAGCAAGAGCAAAGAAGATCAGAGACATCCAAACGAGAACAATACAGCAGATGAGCACTGAGTTTATGTCTCTAATCACAAAATCTTGAAACAAAGCGATAGATCTGCCCAGTGCGAGGCATGAAACTGAACAGAAAGTTTCCAGTTTTCTTGGTCACAGTGAGCAAAAGGACACACTAAATGTAAAAAATATTACTAATCATACAAACCATAAATAGATGTTTTCATGATCTTTTCAATCCTGTTATTTCATTTTATCCCTTACAAAATAAAAGAGTGCTCAGAGAATGGCATAGATTGTCCAAATTAGAGCCAAAAATACGATGCAACTTTGTTGACAATAAAACAAGATTGCCTTAAACTTAAGAAGAAGAAAGAACAGAGGTTTTGTTTTGGTCTCTCCAAGAGCTTTTCAATTATAACAGGCTTTACTGAGGAGGCTTGCCAACACTTAGTAGCTGGCCCACCATTCCATTTACCTGAAAAAACGATTATATATAACAAAAATGATCAGTATTAGCTTTTGAATAATGGTAATCAAACTATAAGAAGATTTTCGACTAACAAAAGACAAGACGCCTTTACCTGCCAGTACTTGGAAACACAACGGTCAATGCAACTGTTCTCACCCATGTTTAAATCACTTTCCTTGTACCTGAGGATATCAGATTTGATTTTAGACGAAAAGAATCTCCGAACTAGTGCAACTGAATAAATCTATCAGCTTTAAAAGTCTCTAAAACAGACAGAAAAATTTACATGCGGTATTAACAAGATAGGAGGAAGCTTACCTTTTATCCACACATTTACTAAAGCATGTTTGAGCAAGCCTGCATTAAAAAAAGAACAAGGCATAATAACAAGGAATCACAAGAGATCAGTCATCAAAAAAAAAAAAAAAATCAAAGGACAATAATACATGTAGAACAAGGTAGTCTTGCATCAAGAATGTCTTAAAGCAAGATTTTAGATATGATAACTCAAAAGTTAAGACAAACACTTTACGCAGTGAAATGGGTTTTTATCAACTGATACTTGTGTAGATATAAACCTAGTTGAAACATAAGTGATAAGCACAAGATTTGTTGAAAACAAACTCATTCCAACATCAGATACCAATCTAAAGCCAGTGACTGAACAAAACTCTAATCATTTAAACAAGACAAGACAAGAGAAGTTCATAACAAAAACAAAAAAAATAAAAGAAGAATTAAGTCGCTTTGATTAATATTTACTTGTTAAAGAGTTCCACACGATATTCCATCTCCGTTTGTGCCATGTTAAACGCCTGTTTCACAAATCCAAAAAGGAGGCAAACATCAGAAACAAGACCAACACCAAATCCAAATCTATCTTCAATGTTACATAAAGATCTAAGTTGAAATATGTAATCGACAGAGAGACAGATATGAAATTTGAGCTCAATTTACTAAGTATATCAAAGATCTGAGAGTGTTACAAAAAAAAAAAAAAAAAATCAAAGATCTGAGATTTACGAATAATCTCTGTGGTAAAAAATACTAACCTGATCCTTAGTAATGCCGGCAGGGATTGGACTTGGAGCAGACATTTTAGCAGTACCTGAAAAACGAGTTTAAGATTCGTAAAGATCTAAACTTTATTAATCCAATACTTGAATTTGAAGACCCAAAGATCCTTACTTTCTTTCTCAAAAGGAAAAAATGAATGACGATGTCAGAGAGAGATGCAATACGGACAAAGCTTCTCTCTTTTGTTCGCTCGACAGCCGAACCGCCAGAACTAGGGTTTAAGTGCCACGTCATAAGTAAAAAACGACACCGTTATTTAAAAAGGGTAAAGATGTAATTATCAAACAAAAGTTGTCTTCGTGTCGCTGCTTTTAGGGTTTTTAGCAAACAAGAGTCTCTGCACAACTTTAGGTATCTCTCCTCTCGCATAGCTCTTTAGGACAAATCTCTTGTGTTTTGTTCTATTTAGGGGTTTTCAAGTTAAAATCTGTAGCACACAGAAGCAGAGATGGAGCACGGTTCGTTCACGAATGATAGTCATGCTTCGTTTACTCTAGCTGAAGAAGATCACACTCTTGCTAACGCCGTTCGTTTCATGTTGAACCAAGAGTAAGTATCTTTGTTATTTCAACCCTTTTAATCTCTTTTATGTTAATACATAGTTTGACATAGAAAGGCTTTAGCTTTATAAAATCTCAAAAACCAGTTCTTGGCTCAATAACAATGAATTTTCTATTTTAGTAGTAGATTTTGTGATATGTGTGAACTTTGTATTCAATTGAATGCTGGTTAGATTTTATTGTGTGGTTAGAGATTCTCATTTGTAAGTCGAATTGTTTCGGATGATTTAGAAAAACTAAAAGGTCTTTACTTACTGATTCATTGAGTTGATATATCATCATCTTCTCTTTTGGGTTAATACCGTTTTGATCTTTCACTTGTTGCTTCTCTTTTTAATCAATGATTATGTTGTCACTAACCGTTACTGCCTTACAACCCTGCAGTCCTAGAGTAACATTGGCTGGGTACAGCATCCCACATCCTTCCCTTGAATGTGTCAATGTCCGAGTCCAGACAACAGGTACCCGTTTCTCACAACATGATTGTTAACCATATGTTCTTACTCGATTACTAGTCTGCTTTAACTTCTTGTTTTCGCCTCGGGTAGTTATTTTGTTTGTGTCTAAACTTGATGGGTTATTATGTGATTGTTTAGGGGATCCGGCGAGGGAGGTTTTGAAAGACGCATGTCAAGAGCTCATGCTCATGAACAGACATGTGAGGAGTGTCTTTGATAAGGCGGTTTCAGAGTTTATGGTTGAATATGCACGTTTGAAGGCTGAGAAGGAGAAGAAGAAAAAGGCTGAAGAAGAAGAGCTTCAGAAGCAGAGGGAACTACTCGACTCTATGGACATTGAAAGCAACTGATTTTGGGGATACAAAAACATTTGTATTCTCTATAGCGTTTTTATCTTTGATTTTGATCTTGAAACTACTTTTGTCAAACACCTCTTAGTTCTCTTGACTAATATTATTATCAAAATTCACAAATCCACAAGCACAAATTGTAAACAAAGATAAACAATGCCCAGGTTCTCAAGGCCAATTGAGTTTAGCAACAAATGTTTAAATCTTTGAAAAATAGACTACGCTAAAAGTATATATACAAGTTGATGAGGGCATATGATTCAACCAATCAGTTCCAACCATAAAGCAAGTTTCGAAGACCAGGTCCGGAACAAAAAACATTAGAGAAGAGATTTAACCAGGCAGTGGAAGCTTTAATAAATTAGGAGCTTGAAGACACCACTCATTAATTGGACAAGCTCAATATCATAAAGGTAAATAACTACGAATTGTGTAGAGTAAGAAAGCTGTAAAACCCACGATCTTGAATAATAGGATTATAGGCTAATAATAGTGCTAAGCAAAATAGTTGTTTGATAAATCTTTGATAATCCCCTTAGCAAGTCTACGCCGAGTACATAAAACTACTAATGAAAAACCGACACAGTTACAGAAACTATAAAAATACTTAGTAGCAATTTGAAAAGTAAATCAGCAACAGGAAGTTGAACTTGAGAATCTTGTGTTGTTCTGTCTTCTTCAGTAACCTTCTTCTTGCTCATACTCAGCTTCTTCATCTTCATCTTCATACTCACCTTCCTCATCAGCCGTGGCATCTTGATACTGCTGGTACTCAGACACAAGATCGTTCATGTTGCTCTCAGCTTCAGTGAACTCCATCTCATCCATACCCTCACCCGTGTACCAATGCAAGAAAGCCTTCCTCCTGAACATAGCAGTGAACTGCTCGCTGACTCTCCTGAACATCTCCTGAATCGAAGTCGAGTTACCAATGAACGTCGAAGCCATCTTCAATCCCGTGGGTGGGATGTCACAGACGGTTGACTTGACATTGTTGGGGATCCACTCGACGAAGTAGGATGAGTTCTTGTTCTGCACGTTCAGCATCTGTTCATCGACTTCCTTGGTGCTCATTTTACCGCGGAACATAGCTGAAGCAGTGAGGTAGCGACCGTGACGTGGGTCAGCGGCACACATCATGTTCTTGGCGTCCCACATCTGCTGGGTGAGTTCAGGGACGGTGAGGTTACGGTACTGCTGAGATCCACGGGAGGTGAGAGGAGCGAATCCAACCATGAAGAAGTGGAGGCGAGGGAATGGGATCAAGTTCACAGCAAGCTTGCGGAGATCAGAGTTGAGCTGACCAGGGAACCTGAGACAGCAGGTTACACCAGACATGGTTGCGGAGATCAAATGGTTCAGGTCACCAACTGCACAACACAACAAACAAAACATATGTCACTAAACACATACAGATAATACAAAGAAAGAGTTTAGCTGATTAATACAACATGAAACAGCATGTAAGAGTCGTTTTACTCTGATATTCTTTCTACATCACAGAAAACTAGTATATACTTTCATGACTACACATCAAACAAGAGAAGAAACATAAAGACATCACAGACAAAATACATACTTTCATATCATACACAATATTTTAAATTTTAATGATTATTTTCAACCGTAAATGTATACAAAGGTTCAAGCAAGATATATACTTACATGATTACTATATTTGCTACAGAGATACCAACGAATAGCAAAACATCACACATTTTTATTGACAACTATCCACCATAAACATAACCAAACCTCATAATAAATCTCATCTTAGGTACTAACTAGTAGCAAAGCATCAAGTAAAACATGATAACAAAAATCAATATTGATGAATACTTACAGCTTGGAGTGCTAAGCTTGAGGGTACGGAAGCAAATGTCATACAGCGCCTCATTATCAAGCACCATACACTCATCAGCGTTTTCCACAAGCTGATGCACAGAGAGCGTCGCATTGTACGGCTCAACAACAGTATCCGAGACCTTAGGAGACGGAAACACAGAGAACGTCAACATCATACGGTCTGGATACTCCTCCCTAATCTTCGAAATCAACAACGTCCCCATTCCAGAACCAGTTCCTCCTCCTAACGAGTGACACACCTGAAACCCTATAAATCATAACAAACAAAACAAACACACAGTCAACAAAACGAGCGATAATTACCATAATAACCCTAACAAATTTAAAAACAACAAACCTTGAAGGCAGTCACAGTTCTCAGCTTCCTTCCTCACAACATCGAGCACCGAATCAATCAGCTCAGCACCCTCCGTGTAATGACCTTTCGCCCAGTTATTCCCCGCACCGGACTGACCGAACACGAAGTTATCAGGCCTAAAGATCTGTCCGTAGGGACCAGATCTAACGCTGTCCATGGTTCCAGGCTCCAAATCCATCAGAACAGCGCGTGGGACGTACCTACCACAACTCGCCTCGTTGTAGTAGACGTTAACCCTCTCGAGCTGGAGATCGGAGTCTCCCTGGTAACGTCCCGTCTGGTCGATGCCGTGCTCGGCGCAGACCACTTCCCAGAACTTTGAACCGATCTGGTTCCCGCACTGACCGCCCTGGATGTGAAGAATCTCACGCATCTTTTCGTTAGAAAAAAACTGGATCTGAAGAGAAGGAGAGAGCAGAGAGAGAGGTTTTTGAAAAAGAGAGGATGGTTGTTTTAGGAGAGAGGGGAGGAGGGAGGGTCCATTTTATAAAGAAAAAGAGGTTTTAACGGCTGTGATTTTGTGGTTTGAATTGGGGATGACAACGAATCAACGGTTGAGGTGGAAAGACGTAAATCTAGGTGGCAACGGGTGGAAATTCAAAATTTAAATGGCTCGTGAAATATCTTTTTGAATTTCGGAATCTGTTTTGTTATGACAGCTGGATTCCCACCCAAGGAGAGCAGTTACTTAAAACGTCATCGCACGTGAGAGAAAAGCGGTTTCTACTTTCCAACGAGGCAATCGCACGTGAGAGCCACTAATGGGCTTTTTAACTCTTTCCAGAAAGCTCTATTCGTTCAAAAATATAAAACGTCGTGGTGTACGATAGTAGATTTAGCAGACGGCACGCATGCTGGACTGAAACGCAAAACGTCGTCGTCTTAGGTTGGCGTTTTCTGATTGAATCACTAAACCGGAGAGCCGTACCAAAAATTTACACACACAATCGGAAAAAGGAATGTTCAGATTCAAACTTGATTGACGCATCGAAAGAAATTGCCTGCAGATTCGAAACGAGAAGTTAATCGAAGAAGAAGATGTCTGTGCAAGAGTACTTAGACAAGCACACTCTCTCTCGGAAAATCGAAGATGCCGTCAACGCCGCCGTTAGGGCTAAAACCTCAGATCCCGTCCTCTTCATCGTAAGTTTCTTTTCGCTTCCCGGATCGATGTACAATTGTGTTGCCTTATCATGATAGATTTCGTTTTTCGTTTTAGGCTAATCATATGAAGAAAGCTGTGTCATCAGTGATAACGAAGGTGAAAGCACGGCAGATCCTTGATAGCAGAGGGATTCCAACTGTTGAAGTTGATCTGCACACTAACAAAGGCGTTTTCCGTGCTTCTGTTCCCAGTGGCGACTCCTCTGGAACGTGAGCACACTTCATTATTTGTGATTATAGTTTGAATTTCGTTGATGCATGATCATGAATTGACTTTTACCTTTTAGACGAATAGCCTTGACATAGAAGTTTGTAATATTATAAAGCTGACATGAGGAGATTGATTAAATGATTCAGATATGAAGCTATTGAGTTACGTGATGGGGACAAAGGAATGTATCTTGGAAACAGTGTGGCTAAAGCTGTTAAGAACATCAATGAGAGAATCTCTGAGGCCTTGATTGGTATGGACCCTAAACTTCAGGCTCAGATCGACCATGCAATGATTGACTTGGACAAAACTGAAAAGAAGGTAGCTAGGCAATTCTCTTGCCTCTCTTATATTAACAAGTATTTAGGCTTGTAACAAATTCATGGAATCTAGAATTTTTAGTATATCTTTGTCACGATTTGTTTTGATTTTATTATCTTGTAGAATGAGCTTGGTGCTAATGCTATACTAGCTGTGTCCATTGCTGCATGTAAAGCTGGAGCTGCTGAGAAAGAGGTATCAGTTACTCTTCGCAACACTTTCCTCTATTGTATTTGATCAATACTCTAGTTATAGGGGATCATGATAGAAGTGTTATATGTCAGGTCCCTCTGTGCAAGCACCTTTCTGATCTTAGTGGCAGAGCAAACATGACGTTACCTGTACCTGCCTTCACTGTTTTGAGTGGCGGCAATCATGCTTCCAATAACTTTGCCATTCAGGTATTTCCATTAAATAATGAGCCATTATTACTGTTTCTGTTTTGGGAATACTTTTCTCACTCTTCAGGAATTCTTTTGGTTTTCAAATAATTATATTTACTCATTTACAATACTGTTAGGAAATTATGATTCTCCCAGTTGGAGCGACTAGATTTGAGGAGGCCCTGCAATGGGGATCTGAGACATATCATCATTTAAAGGTCGGTCAATTTTTTATGATATATGGCTTTCTGGGAGTTACTTTTCGATTTGCGTATGTAACTTTGTATATAAAGCTGAGATATGATCTATTGATATGTATGGCAGGCTGTCATTACTGAAAAGATTGGTAATATGGGGTGTAATGTGGGTGAAGATGGTGGCCTTACTCCAGATATCTCAAGGTATCTATCTATCTTTTTGCATCTGTAGCTTGTCGTGACGGCATCAGTAAAAAAAATGAGAAAATTGAGTTATAGTTTCTTGAGTTAATAATTGTACCTGTTTGCAGTCTCAAGGAAGGTTTGGAGCTTGTGAAAGAAGCTATCAACCGAACAGGATACAGTGATAAGATAAAGATAGCTATTGATGTTGCTGCCACTAATTTTTGTATAGGTAAGAATATTATACGTCTTTGCGATGGTTTTCCGAGGCTACTTTTAAGTTTCAGTCTTGGATAGTCTTGTTTAGTTCTAGGCATTGTCTTTCACAGTTGGCTCGCAACACGGAAAAGATGTTCAATCATAAAATGTGTAACATATCCATATCATGCTTTTTGCAAGTTCGTCTTATATTTTTTTCCGTGGAATTTCTCACACGATTCTTTCCTGAGCAGGTACAAAGTATGATCTAGATATTAAATCTCCTGATAAATCTGGGCAAAATTTCAAGTCAGCGGAGGACATGATAGATATGTATAAAGAACTTTGTGCTGGTATGTTTATGCTGCCCCTTATGCTAGATTTTCTTTTGGGTCTGCTTTAGAAATCTGACGACCTTATTTTTTACTTGGTCTCCTTGTTGTGATAGAGTATCCAATAGTGTTTATAGAAGACCCGTTTGACAAGGAAGATTGGGAACACACCAAGAACTTTTCCGGTCTCGGAATATGTCAGGTCCAACTCGGTTTCCCCTGTTAGAAATGGTTAACTTAGACTCTATGTTGTTTCAGATCACAAACTGTCTTCTGAATCTTTTCACGGAACCAATAGGCTAAATTCCAAATAAGGAACATAAAAAACTGTTTGTAAAATTATTCCCAGTCGTGTGAATCTCAGTTATTGTACATTTGCAGGTGGTAGGTGATGATTTGTTGATGTCAAATTCAAAACGAGTTGAGCGAGCAATACAGGAGTCTGCTTGTAACGCCTTACTTCTCAAGGTATATCGTATGTTTTGTATCGCTTTACCTGTTCTAGTAATTTATGATAGGAAGCTAATGTCCAAGTAATGAAAAGACATATAACATACATACTGTGATATACAGGTGAATCAGATCGGTACAGTAACAGAAGCGATTGAAGTAGTGAAGCTGGCAAGAGATGCGCAGTGGGGTGTGGTGACATCACATAGATGTGGAGAAACAGAGGACTCTTTCATCTCTGACCTATCCGTGGGTCTCGCAACAGGTGTGATCAAAGCTGGTGCTCCTTGCAGAGGAGAACGTACCATGAAGTATAACCAGGTCTGTATCTTTTTGGAGCAGCCATATGTAGTACGTTTAGTTGCTAGATAGTGTTCTCAGTTCACGTTTAGTGTTACATGTAGATAGTACTCTTTACGAAAAAAACTGAAAGAGATGGTTAAAATATTCGTGCAGTTGCTTCGTATTGAGGAAGAGCTTGGGGATCAAGTTGTGTATGCTGGAGAAGACTGGAGGCAAACTCTTTAAACATCTGCACCTTGTGATATATAACAGTTACATTTTTTTCTCGTGAGATACATTCGAATCTAGTTTTCTTACGCAGACAGGTTTCTCTGTCTTGAAAGTAACATTTTGTTTTTTATTGTCTCGGTTTGCAAGTTTGAAGAGCAAAACAAGAAGAAAGTGGTAAACATGATTTTTTTTTTGAAATAGAAAATCATCTAAACTTGTCTTACCATGTTCTAATCTAGCGTTGCAGCAACATAGTAAATCCAGAAAACAACTGAATCCAAGCAGACAGACATCTTAACAAAGGACAACCAGTAAACCAAAAAATAAAACATGCACCCAAGAAGACTCCCAAAGGTTCTGCATCCAGAAACCAGACGTGTTACGGTGTTAGGCATTAGTGTCTTCTTCTTCTTCAATCTTGGGAGCCAAATAGTACCGAATGTAACCCATCTCAGCCACTTTATACTCCACCACGACTGGTAACTCTGAGGACAAACTGATTGTCACGGTTTCAGACAACGGGGTCGCCTTTGTGAAAGAGTTCATGTACCTCAACGCGAATGAAAGCGAAACAGGCTCGTTCATCTCTATCACAATTGCATCTTCAGGCTACAAAAACACACATAAAAAACAAAAGGTCATTTTTTATTCAACAGATACTAAATAAGACTGTGACTGAAGTTCATACCTTGTCCACAGTTGTGTTCTGCCTGAGTACGATGTTAGCTGTCCCAATATCACCAGCTGTTGAAAACTTCACACCTTCTTTTGTCACAGAGATCACAACTACAATCAAGACAACAACCACGTTAGGAGAAAACTCCCAAAGACAAAGCTCTTAATCCTCTCTATGACTACTACCACAACAATGGGTTTTTACCAGTGTCACCAATGCTACTGAGATCTTTGCATATCCTTGAAAATTCACCAGAAGGCATCCTCACAATAGAGTGGTACTCAGCGTCAGGGATTCCCAAATGCTCACTGTCGATATCCATCAGCTTCATCTCAAAATCTGCAATCTTGTCTTGTGCTGCAACCATTCATCAACACACTCCAATCATAAGCAGATTATTACACACTTCTAACATAGTCTACATGGCTTTCTCTAAACCAAACCATAGTTTTGTTCTGTAATGAAATCATTATCTTTTCCTTTCTCTAAACCAACTATACTTTAGTTCTGTAATGAAATCTATAAACTACAGAATCAAATGACCAATAGCATAAAGGAAGGAACTTTACTAGGGCTCTCGAACATGAAGGTGACGGTGTCGCTTCCGTCATCGGCTTTGATGGTGATGATGTCATCATTTCCGGCACATTTGAGCATCTTGGACATGTTGCCGAGATTCATCCCCATGGAGAGGTTCCTGTCACACCTGTAGTGCTCGAAACCTTCGGATCTAAGGAGAAGAGACACGAGCGCCACGTGGCTGGAGTCCATGGCCTGGAGGGAGAAGCCGGTGCTGGAGCAGTCGAAGTTGGCATCGTTCACCAGATCCTTGACCGATTCTAGAACCTTCTTCAAGAGAGAGCCTTGAACTAAACGAAGTTCCAACATCTCTTTTTTTTTCTTTCTCGAAACGTTCGATTAAGGGTTTGAGGTGTGCTTGGGAGATTGGTGAAATGAGTTCGCGGGAATCGATATAAAACGCCGTGGTTTTAGGGTATTCCGTATTTGGTTCCCGCTGCTTCTTGTTTTTAGTGGTGGCTGGTGTTGATAATCAACTGTGTGAGACCGTATCGCTCTTTTCGTACGCATTTACAACGTAAGCCTTTTTGTGTGTAAATGGGTCAGGCCCATATTCAGCAACAAAATTTCGAAAAGGACCAGATTAAATTGATCTGGTCTACGGGTCGGTTATGACCGGTTGAGTTTGGTTTATTTTGGTAAAGAATGCTAATTTAGTATTTAGGCTGTTAGTATTTTTAGGGAATACCTTGGAGATATTCTGAATCGTATACGGTAGGGCTGGGCAATCGGGGTTCCAATCAGGTTTCGGTTCGGGTTCATTCGGGTTTCGGGTTTTCGGGTTCATGAATTATAGCCCTATTCGGATATTATAAAAATTCGGGTCGGATTCGGTTCGGGTTTAGTCGGTTTCGGTTCGGGTTTAGTAACATGTCCAAGATCCGGTTGAACCCGAAATAATTTCGGTTTCGGATACTAATCGGATTATCAGTTCTAAAAATACTAATTTATACTCGATTAAACTCACTATATTTTCAATCATTTTATTAAATTTGTGTATTTAGCTTCTACAAACCATATTGTTCTCCTTCAAAATAATATTGTGAAACTCGTCTATCAACCAAATAAGATTTGTCATTGAACAATATGGTTTAGCATCTACAAACCATATTGTTCTCCTTCAAAATAATATTGTCATGATTAATGACAAACCAANATTTTCAATCATTTTATTAAATTTGTGTATTTAGCTTCTACAAACCATATTGTTCTCCTTCAAAATAATATTGTGAAACTCGTCTATCAACCAAATAAGATTTGTCATTGAACAATATGGTTTAGCATCTACAAACCATATTGTTCTCCTTCAAAATAATATTGTCATGATTAATGACAAACCAAAACCTTGTATGAACAAAATATTATACATAATGAAACATAAAAAATTAAAGTTAACAACTAACAATTCTATAAACGTAAGAAGTACTATTTACACTTTTGAAAAAACAACATTATATAAACTTCAAAACAAATTTATTCGTAACTTAACTTCAAATGTAATGTCAATCATAAACATTAATAATAACCAAATAACACTATACATATAGACTAAATATTTGAGTTAATTATTTATATCATAACTAATTATTGTAGGTACTCAATAATATATTAATCTGTTTTGGAAAACATGTTAGAAATTTACATTGGATATGATACAAATTTTTTAGGCGTGTTAAAGTTTCGGGTTCTTTCGGATATCCATTTAAGTTCGGGTTCGGTTCGGGTAATACCCATAACCCGAAATACCTTAAAACAAGATCTATTCGGTACTTATGTCGGGTTCGGATCGGTTCGGGTTCCTTTTTATCGGGCCGGATTCGGTTCGGATTTTCGGGTTCGGTTTTTTTGCCAGCCCTAGTATACGGATTTTCAAAATTAAAATGTAGTTAATATTTTTAATATTGTGGTTTTATTAATGATAAGACATACTAGGATTAGATCCGCGCCTTGCGCGGAATGAGATGATTAAATTTGTTGTATTTTTTGAAGATAAGAAGACATTATATCGGTTTTATTTGCATATTAATTTGTTTTGGATTGGTTGTTTCGGGTTTTAATATCGTCTAATTATATATCTATATTATAAATATTGTCTTTTTGGTTAAATTGTGATTTTGTCTCATATATATGTTTTTTTTGTCATCCACACGACATGGAAAACACGTAAGATAAAAGTATATTGCTGTCAATAACATTAAGAGTATTGAGACAATCCCAAATCTCCTTTTAGTCTCGAGATGGGTTGTGAAAAGGCTCATTTCGAGAAGCAAATTCTCAACTTGTATAACGAAATCTCCAATCTCAAGAGCCCTTAAACCTTTCACATATATATGTCGACAATTTGTTTAATAGCTCATGTCCACGTCCTTGCCTATGGATACAAAAATCGACGTTAAAAACTTGTGCCCAAAAGTCCAAAACTACAGAACCAATATCACCAACCTACGTAGTGAAGATATAGAGTTTTCAGAGCACCACTACTATACGGCCTTGGGATCTCTCGGAGACAACACATTTTACCATTTAGATCTATCCTTAGTACACTAACTATCTCAAACTTAGCAAGGTTGAGTTCAATCTCTTCACGCTACACACGAGCCATGTCCAAACCAAGATCGCGTTCATGGGCTCCGGTACGTTGCCCTTCACATCCATCATCTTAGATACGTCCCACCGCTCTAATAACGACGTTCCAGAACTTTGACATCGACCCTCAAGCCAATTCACTTGCCTCCGAACTTGTCTCATGCGATATTGAACTTTGTAGTTTTAAAGTATCTCGTGTGTTTTATAATTGAAGTAAATAAGGTAAACAATTGTTGAAGTAAATAAGGTAATATATTGTGAGAATGTAGTAAATAAGGTAATAAATTGTGAGAAGATAGTAAATAAGGTAATAAATTGTGAGAAAGTGGTGTGAAAACATTTAATACAAAATGCTTCAAGGGATTTGGTGACCATAATTTGAAAAATCGTTTTAAATATATTTATTTTTCCAAAACCGCTTTAGAATAATATTTATTGTCAAAGTTAATAGTTCTATAACTAACTAAAATCTTAAAGAATGATCGATATGCCATATATGTAGTTTTCCATATATATATCTATATATAATCTGTTATATTTTTTTTTACAAATTTTAGTTAATTAAAATTCTGTAAATAAGGAAAGGTATTATCTTGTAAATAGATGAAAACTCAAAAACTGAATCCAAAATTTTAGAAATAAGATTCTACTTAAATAGTATAGATATGGGCCATTGTGAAAAATACTTAGTTTATTTGTATGGTTTAGTTAATAACCATAAGTTGTATTTAGGTTAAAGACATGTATAAAAGAGGTTAAGTCTCCAACGTGAATGAACAATAAGAAACTTTTATACCAAACTAGGCTTCTTGACATTTATACATATGGAGACGAGAGGTGAATCCATTCGTATGCTTCAAAGAACATCGCCTTACTACAAGAGGAGCCGAGCACATATTTGTAGTTTCTTCATTAGGGGAGAGTGTACTAGAGGTGACGAGTGTCCTTACCGCCATGAGATGCCTGAAACACGAAAGCTTTCCCAGCAGAACATAAAAGATCAATTCTACGCCTATGGAGAAATCGAATCCATCAGAACCTTGGCTGAGAAAGCTGCAGAAGAGCTCAGTAACAAGCTAGTTATCAATGGTCAGAGGCTTAAAATCTCTAGGGGAAGATCTCAAGTTCCCAAAACTGATCCAGATGGTAACTTGCAGCAACAAGGTGGTGTAGCTCACAGTGAATTTCTCCCTCGAGCTGTGATATCACAGCAGCATAGTCAACCACCACAACCGCATCAAGACAGACCCTTTTACCCATCAATGGACCCTCAGAGAATGGGTGACAACAGAGGAGCTTCTTCATCCTCTTACACAATGCCTCCACATAGTCATTATCCGCCTTACCAGCCATTTGGGTGGTATATGCAACCACCTTACCAGCCATTTGGAGGGTATATGCAACCACCTTACCAGCAGTATCCTCCTTACCCACCACAAGCTACTCATTCTCATTCGCAACAACCAGGTCTTGGCCCAAGGCTTTAATCCTCGTCCTCAGGCTCCAACCTCAGTGTCTCCAACATCCTACTCTCTGTCATCAAGACCAGCCTCCTCTCTCAGCAATCTGCTACTGATGCTTCTGTTACTGGTTCATCTCAGTAGAACCCGCTGTTAGCTAATATGTACTGCGTATTCTCGCTGATATATCTTTTCTGAATTTTTGCTTTTAAGATCATCTTTTAGTCTTTTACAATATACCAAGAGAGAAATACATTGAAGATGATCTTAACAAATCCACAATGGTATTGTCTTTTATTGACTATCTACATACAACGAAATAGTGAAACAAGTTTTAAGATCATCTTTCAGAGCTTACTAGGGTGTCTGCCAAACAAAGAATGTCGACCTTCAGCTATAATCTCTCCAGTCAACTTGTTTCTCACTACAACGATGGTTCCTTTATAACCTCCTCTCTCTCCCATCACTCTCGAAGTTATCTCCAGCTCCTCCTGAACAATACATTTTCCCATTTCAAAAACTCATACAGCAAATCATAAAACTTTTTAGCAACAAACAGATGTTCTAAGTAAAGATTTTTCAAAACTTACACCAAGCTTGGCTTTTGAAAGGAAAGCAATGGACATGTCCACTGAAACATTCATGGGCAAACCTTCAACATATACAACTGCTCCACCAACTTCATCCACAAGATTTGCAATTGCACCATTTGCTAGATACCCTTCTCTGTCCTGTCATCATCAAAACCTTACCATATCAACACCATCTCTCAACCACAAATAACAAAAAAAAAAGTCCAAATTACTTTGTTTTATCCCCAATGATATATATCTTTTTGATTCTGCTGAAGCTTCAAAGAACAACTTTATATATATTGTATTCTCAAGAAGTTATTATCATGATCCAAAAAAAAAAACACTTTAAGTAAAACCAATTTAGATCTTCAGACAACACATGACAACGATGCCAAAATCTTACAAGACTGGTTAGTAATGGGTTTACTTTCATGACTTATCAATAATCACATTAAACCTCAAATTATCTTAATCCCAATAAGGTTTCTCATGCTCTTGTATATAATCAATAGGATTTGATGAGGAAGAGACGAACCGTCAAACGGAGAGGGACCTTGAAGGAGCATGAAATGAAACCGGGGTCGACTCGGTTGACTCGGATGCCTCTGAGGCTGAAATCCTCGTAGAAGCTTCTTCCTTTCTCTGCTTTTCGCGGTGCATCACTGACGTCAACGTCTTCGCTCAGGTGAAGATGCTCTCGTATTTTCTCCATTATCATTCTTTCTTCCATTTTCTCTCCTCCCTCTTGTACAAAAAGTCAATCTCCATCTATTTTATCCATATTTTAATGTTAGTCTTGTCTCGGGGCCTTCCGGGTGAAGTAGAGACTTCTATGTGTTACCAAGGCAGGTTCTATTTACTTTTTTGAGCAAAACCAAGACAGGTTCTTATTCGTTTCTTCTGCAAATTAGAACCCAGCATGCTTTGTAGTACGACATAGTATTCTCTAGAATTATTTATCCGCAGTATTTTCTATCCTAGCTTCACTGATAGTTGAGCTTGGAAGCTGGAATACAAATTTCACCACATTACGAATTTACTATAGTTTACACACAAAAGTGGGTCATTATATTTGCGTTATCAAAGACAAACGTTACCTTTGTAGTTAATTAATCCTTACCAATACACATTTTAATATAAAACTAGATTTTGACCCGCGCTCGAAAGCGTGAAATTTTTTTATGATTAAAAATTTATATAATTGAGTTTTGTCTTAATTTAAAGAATATTTTGATATAAAATCAGTTTACCAAAATTTGTGGTGATGATTATTTTTAGTTTCAGTTTTTATTTTAGATTTAGATTTTTGGTTTTTAGTTTTTAAGTTTCCACTTTTCATTTTCAGTTTTTGGTTTGGGTTTTTAATTTTTAAACCCGCTGAGTTAGTTTGAACTAATATTACCAACAAACAAATCTCAAATAATCGAACATCTAATTTCAAACTGAAAAGATGATAACAAATTTAAAAAATAAATTTGAAATAGTTTATTTTGTAAATAAACAAAGCAAAAAAAATATAACATGTGTTTTCAGCTTTTGGTTTTGGATTTTAGTTTTTAGATTTGGTTTTTGGTTTTGCTTTACATTTTTTTAATCAGTAAATTATTTAAGAAAAATAAAACAATAAATTATTTAAAAGTTACAATTGAAATTTATCAAAACAAAGTGATTGTTATTTAAAATAAAAAAAAAATATTAACATGTTTTAAAGTACATGATTTAAATAAATGATTAATAATAGATAATTTTGTTTTGTTAAAAATATTAAATACCTTTTGGGTCTGAAAATAATAATTTATTTTTTGATCTTTTTAAGGTGAAAAGTTTATTCAATGTTTTTGGAATTTTTTTCTTAATACTAAGCCCAAAAACCAAACTATATAATTTGTTCAAAAAATAAAAGTAAACCCTAGAAAATATTCCATAAATAATCATTGGTTTAATTTAAGTATAATTAGTAGATTTAAATATTCCATATTTTGATGATATATATTCTTTCAGAACATTCTATATTTGTAGGAGAAAAGATTTCGGTATACATATAGATACATGCCGTATTTTGAAGGTAGTTTACATTAAAATCGTCTCTTTACATTAATTGTGTTGGTTTAATTTAAGTAATACAATTCAATCAGTTATATGACTTATATTATTTGTAACATTATAGAAATAGTCCAAATTTAAATGACAACTTGGATCCATAGATAAAAAAAATGATTCTATTTTAATAGAGTAGATATTATTCATCAAAAGAAAAAGGAAAAAAAAAACGATTATACGTGGGTGTCTGTGTACTACGACTTGGCTTATTAGATCTTTATGGGTCAGGATGATCAGACATATGTGGCTTATTAGATTGTACCTGGGGTAATATATGACTGTTATGGACACATTATAAGACTCTCTTTCTTTCCAACTTTACACATTATAAGACTTTTCAATGGAGATAATATTCATTGGACATAATTGTAATGAATAGTGTACAAAATTTCATCTGGACTAAAGGAACAAAAAAATGTCATAACTCATATTGAATTTATGATTTCTCAAAAAAAAGTTTTTACTGCAAGAAATGATCTAAGAATATAGCCGAACAAAACAAACATGTATAAGAGAGTATCTCCTCAGTAGCCGAGCGCTCTAAGGAAGCAAATCACACACAACAAGAAACCTAAACATTCTCTTGCTATACTTTTTTACAAAGCATGCATTTGATAATGCAACAAATAATCTTACCATCTCATTTCGCCATTTCTTGTACTCATATATTAACACCTATAAACTGGCTCCTGCAGCTATATTGGTGTTTGATTCTATAAACCAAGTTAAACTGGTTCCCCTTCATTGACTTTTCCGTGAGAATGCGAATGAACTTTCTGCATCAAAACTGGACAACATAGGTAGAGAATCAGATTCTTTTATTCCGTCGTAGCGGTTAAAGCCAAAGCTCAGTCTGCTCCTACCATTTCATCAATTAATTGTTATGGTTTTTGTGTTCTTCAGCTGATGGATCCATGGACAGTGATGACATGCCGTCTTCTGCAGATTTAGACTCATTTTTGATTAATGGTTCTTCAGATCCCTGACAATTCATGTTCATTGTTATACAATAAACAAATAAATTATATACTTTGTAGTTAAATAAGTACGAGGACATGGATAAATGCACACCTCTTGCTTCTCCTGAACTATTTCCGTGGCATTCAAGCAAATGGTTCCTACAATAGTTTCCTCTGTTGGGTCAGAGTGTTCCTGCGATGGAGAAGAGAAAACTTATGTCAAACAAAGTACATGTGTGTTGATGAATAGAGCATAGATGTATTTTTCTTTATGGAATTTGAAACTTACATTTGATTGATTACTAGATGATTCTTCCTGTGGATACTCATTTGGCCGCAGACCATGTGATGTATGATCAAGATCCTCCGAATGAGTTTGGCTTCGAGGCAACATTTCTTGTAATACTGATGTTGGTGAAGTATCAGATTCTTCAGAGTTTCCATGGTTATTTACATCAGACGCTTCAGCTTCCTCTAGTTGTTGCATCACTTCTTGGTCATTTCTATCACGTAGCTCTTCAGGTTCTTGATAAGTCCTCTCGGATGGTTCAGGTTCGTCAGAGTCATAACTCATCTTTATCTCATCAGCTGAGTTTCCCGAAATTTTCTTCAAATCCTAACAAAAAATGTTGCAAAGATTATGTTCAATATCTTTATTATAAAAGAAAACATAACCATTTGCATGAAACCAGATGAAAACATAACCATTTGCATAAAACAAAATAAAATCATAACCATCTTCATGAAACCAGATGAAAACATAACCATTTTCATGAAACCAGATGAAAACAAAAAAAAACATGAACTGACCTCTTCTCTTTTGGGGAACATTTCATCAGTGTGAGGAACCATAGGCTCAACATCTGAAGAAGCCAAAGACTTGGTTTCATTTAAATCTTGCTCAACTTTTCCCACAGGCAACGTTTCACTTTCCCCACCATTAAACCCCATTAACATACGCATCTCCGATTCATTAATAAACAAAGATCTCTCTTCATCAGAGGAATCATTCCCATCAACAGAACTTGGAGGTGAACCGAGTTCAGACACCTCAACTTGAAGATCAGAGTCAACTGAATATGTCGGCACATGACTTCTCTTTGTGCTGTAACCAAAATGCTCCATGTATCGTTGCCTCGCATTCGCTAGTGAACTCGAACCACGGCTTCTTGGCACCAAGCCCGGAACAGCTTTACCAACACGATCCTCATTACATTTGTAGAAAGTTTCAGAAGCATCTGACAGGTCTGAAACATTGAAATCACACTCTCTTTCTCGTGGAGAAAGCGTTGTTTTAGAGTCACTATCATCATCGTTTCTGATGGAATCTGTCTCTATCCGTACTTCCCCTGCCTCCACATCACTTTCTTTCATTAGAGGAAGTTGATCATTGCTACCTAAATTAGCAAGAAAGTCTCTATGAATTAAATAAGTCATAGTCCTAATTAATATTTTAAGTCACTTCCATAATAAAAAAGAAAGAACATATACCTTGCAGAGGTTTAGGCTTACCATAAACTGTTTTTCTCCACGAAGACTCAAAACTAGAGTCATTTTGAGATTCTGAAGAAGGAAAGACTCTGTGATGGAAACTCTCATGGCGACACAAGAAAATATCTTTACTAGGGTTAGCATCAGCAAACTCTTGCTGGAAACTATCTCCTGTCAGGTTAGGTCTCTCTTCCTGTGGGTCATAAGGAAGATCAAATGGGTTTCTTCTTGGTAACATAACGGAAGGTGCAGAGCCTGGCATGATAACTCCATCAGTTTCATAGTTTTCTCTATCGAAACCATAATAGTTTCGACCTATACAGATCCTAGGAACTTCCATATCCATCAGGCCTCTCTCAGCTGCTAGTAAGAACAGTCTTCTCGATCGTCTTCTTGTAATCAAGTTCTCTAGTCTCTTGTTTCGTTCGATCTCAGATGTCCCAAGATCCATTAGGTTCTTCTGGTCATCCTCTGTCCACGCTACTACGACTGTGTTTGTTTCCTTTTCCTCTTCTTCTGATGACGATGATGATGATGAGCATTCTAGTTCGGTTTCACCATCACAAACCCTCTCCAGAGGATCTTCCACAACAACGTAGCTTTCGTTGTCAAGGTTAGACTCAACAAAGCTTTCTTGTGCTGCAAGAAATGTCCTGTCTCTCTTGAAACTCTCTAGATCTGGAGTGATTGTCTCCGGTGGTACTTCTCCGTAGAGAGTTGTTAAGATCACTTTCCCTCTCTCATCCTCGCTAGCTTGAGAAGAGTCCCAATCTTTCCCAACCTCTTCAACTTCCCTTCTCGCGTTTCGTCGAACACTTCTTTGGTGCTTCAACTCAGCCTTCCCTGTTCTTCCCTCGGACAAGGACAACCCACCACGTTCTGTTGTTATCTTCTCCTCCTCATCGATCTTCGAACTCAGATGATTCCGAAGATAGAAGGAAGCACAAGCTATCAACGGAGAAGAGTAGAGCATGAAATAGAAGATCCGAGGAAGGAAAGTGTACAAGAAGATCACAAACGCAGAGACACAAGAAGCAATTGGGTATCTCTTCACGTATCTGCACGTTGTGTTCGTTGAAAATCTGATAACTTTCCAGACGATAACACATACATCTTTAGCATCAATACCCATGGTTTCTTCTTCTTCAAGTGAAATCCCTGAAACTCAGAACCATTAATCAAAAATCTTGATGAAATGAAAGAAAAAGAAGAGGTCAAGGTTTACCTTTGAAACGATGACCAGTCAAAAAGAAAGGGTCTTTTTTGTAGATTTAGAAACTTGCTCTGTTTCTTTTTTAGTAACTTGGGTATATATGTTATGGAGGGAATGTTTATGTTCGGATCGGATCGTGCGGGGAAGACACGAAGCTGTGGTAATGAACGAAGGAGTTAGTTGTGTGCATGTTTTTCAAAGATTCTTTTGTCTTCTTTATTACACGTTTGAATTTTAGTTATGTATAAATATATTTGCATGTTAACCCCCTGTTAGTTCTTAGTTTTTTTGCATTTGTTGCTATGCTTTCTTGATTTGGAAGTTTAGATGTGTAAAGTTGTAAACTAAACCCACCGACCCATGACAATTTCTACTCGAAATATGAATAATTCGATCATTTCCTTACAGTTGGATGGATATATATTAATTATATATTAGTTTTTCTCCAAATATATAATTATAAATGCATCAATGGTTGTTACTTGTAAGATGATCTTTCTGTTCAAGAATAAAATCTTTTATTATGTACTTTCATAGGGGATTTTCCTAATTCAATCTATATTATTAAAAGAGAAGTACTCATATAAAATACCCCTAAGTTTTTCTAATTATTTACAATGTTATGCCATTGAAGTTATTAATTACCTTACTTTATAGGATTCTTTGTCTTTTCACTTTATTTAATGCCTTTCCAAAATAAAATTTTAACTAAAAATAACTATGGCAACAATAATTAATGAAAATAATTATTTTCATATATACCTTTCGTAATTAAATAAATTATATAGAAATTGTTTTACTAATTTCATATATATAATAATTAATTTCAATGTTAATTAACCTACCTTTTAGGATTTTTTTTCTTATTAATTATCTACATATCTTTAAATAGTTAATGAACAATATTTTTTCAAAGATATATAATTATATTTTTATTATTTATAAGTAATAACTAAAATAAAAGTCACAAAAAGAAACATTTATATAATATATAATAAAAAGATTAATATAACATATCATGTTATGTATATTTTTATATAAATAATAGTTCAAAGTAAATTCAGAATAATAAAAGTTATGTAACTATTACAAAAATACATCATTTAGTATAAACTTAAAAATTAAAAGAAAACAAAACACCCGTCCGGTTAGGTGGGTAATGGTCTAGTTTTCTTTTATGACAAAAAATGTTCATTTTAGGTTGAATATTTGTTTGGATTCTATGATGGATGATCTCGTCGAAGAGTAGTGTTCCGTGGAAAACTTCTCGACATGATAATAGAATATCAAGCATATTCTGTTTTTGTAAATTCTATATATTTCTTGTTGAGATATTTACGTTAGTAGTCAAATGTAATGTCTGTAAATGTGTAACTAATTTGGCTTTATAATGCCATATCTAATGAGAATGAATCCGATGAGGACTTTCATAATCAAACAATCAGGGGATAAGAGAAGATTATGAGAGAAAATGACAATTGTTGATGGTGCTCGGGTAATTAAGAACATTTCTAACATTCTTTATCCATTAAATATATCTCTAGAGTTTCGGTTTATGATCTTTATAATTATAATTTTTATTTGATATCTAATATAAAGGACATCTGTCTAGACTTTTGTTAATTTTCAACAGAATTTAATGATAGAGTGTTGTTCCATCAATCATTAGACGGAAAATAAGTTAAATAACCATTAATCTACCAATTTATAGTTGTTTGATAACTGAAAATTTGTTGGAGATTCATAAAAATTCATCAAAATCTTACCGGTTTAACCTCGTAAATCTCATTCATGTATTATATCAATACAATTGGATTTAGTTCCGAAAAAAATTGATTTAGTATATAAGTACACGTCCAAATTGGACATACTTTGTATAACTCATGTCAAAAACCATTATAATCTATTTATTTTGGATTTATTTAAATTTAATTTTTGAATATGATATCAACATCACAAAAAATAATATTATCATATTTGGGAAATTACTAAAACTAACACATTCATGATATATTATTTTACTTTTACATTAATCATCTTTACCTTTAAAATTTTGATAGTCAAAAGACCATAGTACCTTTAATTAATCAAACATAAACATATTCTTCTTCCATCTCTTTTCTTCATCGCTCGACTAGATTTTGACGAGTCTGGTGAGATTCAACGACTTCGGCGAGATTTGGCGATCTCCCTGTGTGATTTGACGAGACATTCATTTATTCCGTCGAGATTTGACGATCCCCCGGCGAATTTTGACGATCCCCCGGTGTGATTTGACGAGACATTCGAGTATTCTAGATATTCGAATATTCCGTCGAGATTGAAGAAGCTCACGAGATCTTCGCCCATATTTGAAAAAGTTTACATCAATCGAACATGACTATCGTTTGGCCGAACTCTGTAGAAACGGCGGCAAAGGTACAACGATTTTTTAGCTTATTTTCTTAATCTCGTCGAAGAGCATGTGCATAACTGTGTGTTTAGTGCTGTTCTCGACCAGTTTATGGGAAGGAAATAATTTTTTTTTTCATGAATTTTATAAATTTCTTATTTATAAGATATTATAAATATTTATCGACGAAGATATTATGTTTCAGGTTACTACGATTGAAAATTTGTGTTGTTTGCGGAGAATGTAAACTCGTAACTGGACATCACTGGGATTTCATAACTGACGATGAACTAGGATCTTCTATTAGTATGATTCTAAGGATATGAGGTTCAATGATTTGGTTGGGTATTTGTTAGAAGATTTTGGTATTGACTCCAACAGAATCAGTGCAAAGCTTAGCTATGTGTCTCTTTCAAAAGTAAACTTTGGAAGTAAAGATTTTCCTCCAGTGTTTATCAGAAACGATCGTCATGTTTCAAATCTGAATAAACTACAACATAATGGAGGTCTTCATCTATGTTTAACATTAAAGGTATGTACACATATTTTGTTATAATAGTTATCATTTATTTTAAAATGTAGTTGGTAGTTATCACCATTGATTGTATCAAATATGATTCAGACATGGAATGAAGTTTCTATTTAGGATACGCTTGTTCATGGATGTAGTAATCTCCTTGAGGTATTTTTTTACAACTTTTATATTAATAACGTCTTATAATTCTATTTAACAAGATTACAAGATGTTATGTTGCAGAAGGGAACACAAATTTTACCAATGATTGTGTCAAATATGATTCAGACACGGGATGACGTTTTGATTTCTCATGTTTTGCCTATTGCTGGAAATAGTAATCCGCTTGAGGTATATATTACAACTTTTATATTTAGAAAGCTTTATAAATCTATTTTTACAAGATTCATTACTAGCTTTATGTTTTTATGTTTCAGAGGGAAACACAAATATCTCCAACGATTGCGTCAAATATGACTCAGACACGGGATGAAGTTTTAATTACCCATGATTTACCAAATGCTGGAGGAATACAAATATTACCATTGATTATGCCAAACCTGACTCAGACACGTGATGAAATGTCTAGTAATCGCAATTCGCCTATTGCTGGAAGAAGTAATGCATTTGAGGTACTTTTCAACACTGTGTTATCTTAATGTTCATAATTATAAGGTATTATATATTGTTTAAGAAAATAGATCCATATTTAATTTTGTAGCGAGGAACACGATTTCTCCCTGATACTGAATAGAACAATATTCAAAGAGTTGATGAATTATCAGAAATGCGACATAATCATATAAGAGATAGTTTTATTTCTCCTTCAAGTGGTCTCGTTAATCATATACGACATAATCAACTTGGTCAAGTCAATTATACGTATTGCATGGCACTCTATCAGCTTAAATGCATAAATTCAATTGTTTTCTATTTTAAGAACCTGAAACATAGGAGATAACTTGTAATCAAAACTTTTTATGATCAATAAGTCAAATCTAACATTTAAAAATGTAGAGATATATAAGCAGTTATAATCATATTACATGTGGCAAACCTTCAGATTCAACATTTATTGCGAACTTTCTTGTACTCATGTTGACATCTTTGAAGATGTTGCGAATCATGAAAGGAAGAACCACCGCATATGCATTTACATAATCAACCAGGCTCGCATCTGTGTATTCTGTGCTGCACAGTTGAATGCAGTGATACTTCTCTTCTCCAGGTTGATTACAATCCCAAGCCAGTAAGTTTCTGCAACCTCAATTGCCGAATAGAGGAAACTGATATTCTTCTCTATCTTGTACTTGACGAAGATTCTTGCAAACTCGAAGCCTTTCTTGTCATCTAAAAACTCATCTTAAAGTTCATCAAGAAATTTTACTCCAACAACTAAGGCAGTTTTGTTAAGAAACAAATCTGGATTGTTTCTCTTTTTCAGTTTTAGTAACTCCAAACCTGCTTCAATATGCTGCCAAAAAAATAACAAATACTCACAAAATATATAAGTAATTTTTATAAAGAAAAATAAGATAGATTTATAAGTGATTATAAATAATATATAAATAAGTTCATCCATTCTAACCGTTTTTGCAAGCTTTCTTCCTGGAGTTTCAAGATCCAAAAACCACTTTTCGGTTACTAACGCTTGATTGACTTTTATTTTCCTACATTAAAACACACAGTAGGAACCTATTTTTCACCATCGTGAAATTTATAATAACTTATATAATAAATCTTACCTATTTTTCTTTGACATTTTCCAGTCTCTCATCTTTTCTTTTCTTGTTTTATCAACTGGCTCAAAATGATGAATTATTTGATGCTTCTTTTGTGCTCCAGTAAATGGTGATTGCATATGAATTGATGGTATTTGACATATTTCACTTCTTCTTAGCTCAACATTATCTGGATTAGCTTTATTCTTCTTTTTAAGTGAAGGCTCAATATCATCATATTCCTACACAACAAATAAAATAATTTAAAAAAAAAGAGTTATATGTTTATAAAATAATACAAAACTCATAAAGTTTAAAAAACAAACTCGGGTGTCTTATTGTACCAATCTCTTTTTAACTTTCTTTAGAGGTTGGAAAACATGAATCTCACAAAGGTCTCTCATAAGAACATGATTCATGCAAATTGTTTTATGAATATGTACATGTGAACTTTTTTATCAATCATGAAATAGTGTATAAAATACCTCATTTGCACCCTTAACACTATGACGAATTTCTTGGGAGAGAAGATCAAACTTAGGTGTTGTAAATGTTGGAGTAGGCGACAAAACCTGCAGACACAGATCAATTTAAATTAGATAAATTAAATTTTTACAAGGGCTTATAAAATATGTTTAATTTATACCCTTGTATCATAGTTTGGAGTATTGAATGTTTGAGTAGACAACATGACCTACAAAAAAATAAGAAATGAAATTTGGCATGCCTTCAATCCAAAAATTTATAAACCTATATATATCCTATGTTTAGATTTTATACCAACGACTTTTGTTTCATGCAACTTCCTTCTTCAACTTTTTCTGTGATTTCGTCTTGATTGATTTTCTGTGTATTCTTATTTTCTCCAAGAATACTCTCTTCTTCCGATAAAACCTCTGTATCACATATTTCTTCTTCATTTTCATCATCTGGTGCAATTCTTCTGTCCTCAGAATTTGCTTCTTCATCAACTGAAACTTCTTCATTTTCAACATCAGTTGCGATACTTCTATCACCAGATTTTGCTTCTTCGTCAATCGGAGATTGTTCATTTCATCATCATCATCACCAGAAGTAGGTCCATTCGTGCAATCTTCTTTATCACTAGAATTTGCTTCTTCGTCAATTGGAGCTTCTTCATTTTCATCATTATCATCATCACCAGAAGTAGTTTCATTCTTGCAATCTTCTTTATCCGTTGAACCGTTAGGGAACTTCAAAAAATCATGTTAAATCGTTAGAGAAAATAACATATGATTTTTTTTGAAGTTCTTGGTAAAGTCAGTTGCTTACATTAATCCCTTAAAAAAATTTGGATCGTCTCTACTCGCTTACCCAAACCTTGAACCATTTGGATTAACTCATCAAGTTTCTCATTGTTAGACTTGGAATGATCTTCATTTTTTCTTTGTTCTTTATCTTTCTCATACTCTTCATCTTTATTATCTTCGTTATCGTTATGATTCTCTTCATCTCTCTGATTCTCTTCGTCTTTCTAGCTCTCTTTAGCTTCGTCATAGTCTAAATCTTGCTCATGCTCTTCATCTTTGTCTTTTGTCCTCCGTTGCTCACCTGGCTTCTGTTGCAACAAAAATATCCACAAATCCTTATTCCAAATCTCTTTTCGTCATTTTGTATCCTATGAGAACCATGTTTATAACGCTGTCAAAGTCCGAATCATCCTCATATGTTGTATTCACCAGATGTTTGTATTCCTTAGGAGATCCAAAAATTGTATCAACCACAACCTGTAACAAAAATAAAACATGTGTTTTATAATCCCCTGTAAATCTCATATTTATAAAATTATAAGACCGTATAAAACAATATTTCCAATCTTTTGTGAACATTTCACATTTTTTACAGGCTTTTTTCAATGAATCCATGAATCTCTCTAGAAATCTATTTTCAAACATTTTCTAATATGATCATACAGATTAATTTATAAACGTTTATAAAAACTTACATTATCTATCTTCTCTATCGCTGACACTTCGATTATGGTCTAACTCTTTGTTGAGTCCCAATGCAGAACGAGCGGATCTGATGAAGAGGACGTCTCCCATGGTTTGGCCAAGAACACTCACTGAGGACATTGCCCATAAGTTAATGCCGATGGCAAAACCACTTATTTCATAACCATCTCCTAACCAGGAACCTGAATCCAAGCTTTTAATACTCTTTGACAAGACATTATATGCAACTCTACCCCAAGCACTTTTGGATATGCGATAGTTCATGTAACTCATCATCCTCTCTTTCAGGATTAGAGTTCCAGTCTTTTCTGCAATAATCACTCCTACTGTAATTATTGCTACTTCAAGTGAGAACCTTTCAACTGTTGGCATTTTGGTGCTTTCTTCTTAAACATTTCATACAATGTTTCCACCGTGTATTTATTTTTTTTCATAACATCCACATGTAAGGTTTTTTTACCACTCTGTCACGCACCTTCACTTATGTTTTATCTTCTTCACATACTAACCCTGTTGCCATATAGAATTCTTTCATTGAAAATCTTATAGGCTGATCGGCGAAGGTAAACCAAAGTGCTTCTCCTTTTGTTAGTACTCTTCGCTGCATGAGAAAATGAAATAGACTCTCTCAAAACTCAACACTGGTTCTTCTGACCCACTACGTTTCCAATGTGGGAGTTTTCTATCTGAGCAAACTCCTTATTTCCTAAGACACCAGCAATCTTTTTCACATAATCCATTCTTGAGTGTTGGATAATGACCTTTGGATTATCTGGTGGTTCAATTCCAGCTTCATAAACTCTCTCAGGCAAACGCATGGATGTGCAAAATTCATTGCTATCTAACTGCTAAACAAAATTCAACATGAAGCTCGTATTTAGAAAGGGTTATAAATTCAACAAAACGATGATGTGACTTATGTTCAAGAGAATTAAATCTCTACGAAAAACTAACAAAGGTCCAGAATCAATAGCATTCAAGAACAGACAAACAAAGAAGAAGTGACACCTGATGTTTACAGCTCAGATCAATAGAGTGTGACTACGTATACAACATGTTTTAAGAGAATTTCGTTATTACTCTAGGATCGCAACTATTAAAGATTGAGAAGGCCATTAAAGATCATTACCACTTCATGAGAGATAGATATAGTGATGTTATACTATGTAAAAAATAAGTTACATTCCATAGCCCATCAACTTGTATGATTGGCTATTAACACAAAATTCAACACTAAACTCGTATTTTAGAAAGGGTTATAAATTCAACAAAACTATGATGTGACTTTTAATCATGGTTTATAGATACATTATTCAACGATTATAGATTCAAACACTAATCGATTACACGAATCTCAAAACCACATGAAGCTCGTATTTTAGAAAAGATTATAAATTTGTAAAATCTCACATCTTTCCCTTAGATCAAACAAACAGATACAAAAATTGAAACTTTTGAATTTGTATAATCTAGCATCTTAAATCGAATAAGAAAAATACAGATTCGAAGAAGAAAGAAACTTTGAACATGTCACCGGATTTGTCTAATCTAGCAACTTACAAATTGGGAATTGGACTGAGGAGCCGACATTATATTTTGTCAAGATCTTCCGTCGTTGATTGAACACGTCACCAGAGTCACCGAATTCGCCTTGGAGAGAAGCCAATTTCGTCGGAATCGCCGTCATGAGAGAAACTGATTTCGTTGTGGAAGATCTATTTTATTTTCTCGACGAAAATGAAATCTCAACTAACCTAGGGGCATTAAAGTCATTAATCCTTTAATAATATAAGTATTTATGAAAATGTCTCCCCTCTTAAAGTAAATGTGAATTAATGTATCAAAAAATGTGTATTTATACAATTCTGCTATCATACTTACTTAACTTTAAAATAATTATCTACGATACAAATCCAAAAAAAATAATAATTATCTCCGATACAAATTCAAAACTTTAGATTGGGATCTTTTTCCAGATTTTTTTTTTCAAGATACACATTCAGATTCGATTAATAAAAGTAATGGTTCTTAACTTACTTCTTATACACTAGCCTATAAAATTTATTTAGATATTTTTACACCTTGGATATTTCAGATATTTTTTGCCGAGGCCTAGATGTGATGTGAGACACGAGGCCATCTTGTAAAATAATACTATTGTTTTATAATTGTTGAACCTTTTAGAGCATTTGCATTGGTAGACTATCTGAACAGAGTACAAACAACATATAATAATAATTTACTTTACTTATGTTATTAAATTTAAAATAAAATAAAATTAAAGAAAATAGATAAGAGTGAGATAAAAGTTTCTTCCTTTTGTTGTGGAAGTTGTTCCGGGACATACGATTCTTTTTTTTTTTTTGACTATTTCTCTTCATTTTTTTTATTTTTTTACTGTTTTAATCCTGAGATATTGGTGGAGAAACAAGGGCCGTTACACTCAAGAAAAAAATAATGAAAATTGCATAAGTTACCTAGGGAACCAACGGATGTTATTCAACGAAGAAAATACAATAAAAGCAAGGGCCTTTGTATTAATAACAAGTCTCCTCCTCCTTAGAATTCTTATCAAAAACGACGCTGACAAAAAAATATCTGGGAAACAGACGACACGTAAGCAAACTTCTTGGATGCATTGGCCTACCCGTGACAATTATCATCCTCACTAGTAGAGGACTCAGGAGGTTCACTTAAAAAGGACCCAAACATTTCTCTTCCTTCTTTGTTATCATAGAGTGTGGTTCAAGTGAGAGTCACTCACAGATTGAGTTCCCACGAGTTTCATCCAACTTCATTCCTCAGATCCACAGGTTCATTCTTTGCTCCACTCTTGATATGTGCATGCAAGTCGATAAAGTCATTTATGTTTTGATGCATGTGTGGTGTGTCTCATCCATAACAAGTTTTTTTATATATAATATCTTGCAGTCATGACATCCGTACACAGTACTTTGATGTCGGTCGTATGTAACAACAAGAACCACTCCGCTAGGCCCAAGCTTCCAAACTCCTCCTTGTTACCTGGATTCGATGTTGTTGTTCAAGGTGCTGCTGTTCGGTTCAAGAAAGACACAACAACCACACGAGCCACGTTGACGTTTGATCCACCAACGACTAACTCAGAGAGAGCCAAGCAGAGAAAACACACCATCGACCCTTCTTCTCCTGATTTTCAACCAATCCCATCGTTTGAGGAATGCTTCCCTAAGAGCACTAAAGAACACATGTACGTATTATAATATCACTCAATCCACAATATTCATATGCTAATCAGAGCCGACTGGACAAAACTGAACAAAACATTCGCGTGTAACCCCCAATTTTCTTTTGAAGAAAATTACATAGACATAAACCCTCGAATTAATTTATTAAAAAAAAATATTATTAAATTTTTTACCAAACCCCTACATCTCATAAGTCATAAGTTGAATCATTGGTTTGGTTTTTGATTGTTTTCAGTGAGGTTGTTCATGAGGAATCTGGTCATGTTCTCAAAGTTCCTTTCAGACGTGTTCATTTATCTGGTGGTGAGCCAGCTTTTGATAACTACGACACTAGTGGTCCTCAAAATGTTACCCCACACGATGGTATGTCATTCAACCTTGTCTGTTTATTCACTTCCTATGTGACTATTACAATAACAAATAATACTTGTCAAAAAAAAAAACAGGACTTGCTAAGCTAAGGAAGGAGTGGATTGATCGTAGAGAGAAGGTAGGATCACCAAGATACACTCAAATGTACTACGCAAAGCAAGGAATCATAACCGAGGAGATGCTCTACTGTGCCACCAGAGAGAAGCTCGACCCTGAGTTTGTGAGATCAGAAGTCGCACGTGGCAGAGCCATCATCCCTTCCAACAAGAAGCATCTGGAGCTTGAACCGATGATTGTCGGTAGGAAGTTTTTGGTTAAGGTTAACGCCAACATCGGAAACTCAGCTGTTGCAAGCTCCATTGAAGAAGAAGTCTACAAGGTCCAATGGGCGACCATGTGGGGAGCTGATACCATCATGGACCTCTCTACCGGTCGTCACATCCACGAGACACGCGAGTGGATCCTAAGGAACTCAGCTGTCCCCGTTGGCACCGTCCCCATATACCAAGCCCTTGAGAAAGTGGATGGGATAGCTGAGAATCTTACGTGGGAAGTGTTCAGAGAGACTCTGATTGAACAAGCCGAGCAAGGTGTGGATTACTTCACGATCCATGCTGGTGTTCTGCTGCGTTACATTCCTTTGACAGCTAAGCGTATGACTGGTATCGTTTCTCGTGGAGGATCCATCCATGCTAAGTGGTGCTTAGCTTACCATAAGGAGAACTTTGCTTATGAGCATTGGGATGATATTCTAGAGATATGTAACCAGTATGACGTGGCGCTTTCGATAGGGGATGGTTTGAGACCTGGATCTATCTATGATGCTAATGACACTGCTCAGTTTGCTGAGCTTCTTACTCAAGGTGAACTTACTCGCCGAGCATGGGAGAAAGATGTGCAGGTGAACTAACTCACTAGTCTTCATTTTTACTTTTAATCCTTAACTTTAGTTATAATTTATAGGCACTGAATTTTTACATTTTTTTCAATACTGATTGTTTTTTTTCATTTTTCAAGGTGATGAATGAAGGGCCAGGGCATGTACCAATGCACAAGATTCCAGAGAATATGCAGAAGCAGCTGGAATGGTGTAACGAGGCACCATTCTACACACTTGGTCCTTTGACTACTGATATAGCTCCTGGATATGATCACATCACCTCTGCCATTGGAGCTGCTAATATTGGAGCCTTGGGGACAGCTCTTCTTTGCTATGTAACACCTAAAGAGCATCTTGGCTTACCGAACAGAGACGATGTGAAGGCAGGGGTTATAGCTTACAAGATAGCCGCACATGCAGCTGATCTAGCTAAACAGCATCCACATGCACAGGCGTGGGATGATGCGTTGAGCAAGGCGAGGTTTGAGTTTAGGTGGATGGATCAGTTTGCTTTGTCGTTGGACCCCATGACGGCGATGTCCTTCCATGATGAGACTCTTCCGGCTGATGGAGCCAAGGTTGCACACTTTTGCTCTATGTGTGGGCCAAAGTTCTGCTCCATGAAGATTACAGAAGACATCAGGAAGTATGCTGAGGAGAATGGCTATGGCACTGCTGAGGAAGCTCTGAGAAAAGGAATGGAGGCTATGAGTGAAGAGTTCAATGTTGCAAAGAAAACCATCAGCGGAGAGCAGCATGGTGAAGTAGGTGGTGAAATCTACTTGCCAGAGAGCTATGTCAAGGCTGCTCAGAAGTAAAAGGTCAGTATCCTTAGTGGTCATGTCTTTACAAACATGTTAGTTACTCACATATGGTCAAGATGTGTCTTTATTGTGATCTCTGCCTATTGTCATGTTTCTTTTGCTTCTGGTTCCTCAGGGAAAGGGTGGAAACAAGACTTGGCTTACACAAGTTTGGTGCCTGGTTGGACTATACCTGAATAAGGCACAAAATGTTGGTAAGCTTTAGTAGTCTCTCTGTCTGTTAAATTTTAGAACTATCTATGGTTTATGTTTCTGTTTGTTCCTTTGAGTGAGAATCAGTAATAAAAAAAAACAAACTGAGTTGATATTTTACAATACTTTTATATGTGATTTGGATGGTGAATTGACATGAAAAGCACCAGGGGTGCTTGAACCAGGCTAGCTTGCTAAAGAGCGAGGTAGCCTGGGACCAGGCTGAGAAAGTCCCTTTGAACCTGAACAGGGTAATGCCTGCGCAGGGAGTGTGCAGTTTTCTTTTTCTTTTCTATAGGAGAAGAAGCTTCTGCTGCTGCCGATCTTCTGAGTCTTGGTCAATGGTTTGCCACAGTTTGAATCTCATGAGCTAAGAGTTTCAACTTAATTGACTTATATCCATAAAAATAGTAGGAAGTAAGTAATGCAGTAAGACACTAAAGTAAAGAATGATTCAGTAAAAAAAAATCATATTGGTAAAAGCTTTTGCATATTGAGGACATAAGCCAAAAGTGATTAGACTGTGAAATTCTTTTCCAATTCCACAAAACAAAGATTTAGAACTTAAAAGAAAACTTCTTGGATACTATATATGGTTATGACTTTGTGACCATGTTTGTTAAATCAATTCAGTTTCTTACTATCTCCTTGAGGCTTGGTCCAACACACAAAGCCATTTAGTTTCTTGCTCGATCAGAACAAGCAGATCGATGTAGGAAAAGTGAAGCTCCATCAATCTCACTTTCATGAACATGATTCACTTCCTACGCTCCTTCATAAACACATGTGAAAAAAATGTTTTCCATATCAATAAGTAAAAAGTTATGTTATATTTCCGTAGAAAATTAGTAAAAAGAACATACAAAATGCGAAAAGAACCTTTTGTAGTCAGGAGGAGTAGGTCTAATATTATTATTGTTCATTTGGTTTTCTAGCAGTACTCATACTCATAGTACGGAATCTTATTTTATTCTTTTATGTAGATACCACACCAAGTTGTGTTAGGTTTTTGGCTGTTATTGCTGATAGAAAAAGGTATTCTCAATATAGAACATAAACCGAAGATATAATTTGGAGGCTTGTCAGCCTTTCCTTGGTGTGACTTGTAACTAATATGATTGATGCATTTGTTTAAGAGATAAACTATAAGCCATAAAATGTATGTTAACAAATATGCTTTAGTCTTAATTGAAAACAAATTAAAGTAAGGAAATAAATAAGCAAATTTAATCAGTCAATCTTAATACCATCTCTTCAGATATATTTTATTTCCTTTCTACTTTGAAAATATATATGAATATCGTGAAAATTAAATTTCACAAGATTTACACGAGAAATAAAAGGGTTTTGAAGCTCAAGAAACGTAAGTTATTCAATGAATTATTGTCTATAAAAGAGTGGTGGGCAAGGGGTGATAAAACTTAAAACCCTAATTTTGTTTATTGAAACAATGGCGACGATCTCTGATCTTTCTTGTGATCTGGTAGAAGAGATACTCACAAGGGTTCCTGTAACTTCTCTAGGAGCGGTGAGATCCACTTGTAAAAGATGGTACACATTATCCAAATCTCGGCTTTTATGTAAAGCAAAAGCAAATCATCAGTTTGTAGGGTTCATGATAAAGAATTCAAAGCTGTGTTCAATGAGATATGATCTCGATGAAGAATTTGCTGTGAAGGAGATAAGTGATTCCTTGGAGATCTCTGAGGTTTTTGTCAGCGACGGCTTGTTGTTATGCGTCAGTACTGCCACAAGAGATGACCACAGTAACCAAAACCGCCTCATGGTGTGGAACCCATATTTGGGACAAACAAGGTGGGTCCAACTAAGAACAGCTTACTACAAATTAGACACATATGCTCTGGGATACGACAACAACCATAACCACAAAATCTTGAGGTATATCCTTAAAGATGAGGAATGCGAAATCTACGATTTTAAGTCTGATTCATGGAAGACTCTTGATCTTTCTGTCACTCCAAACTGGAGCCAAGGCTGGGCCGGCGGAAAGTACCGCCATCACAGCGCATCGCTGAAAGGAAATACTTTCTTTGTGCACTATAATGACTTTGCTGAGACGTACGGTCAATAGTTTATCTGTTTTGATTTCACAAGAGAGAGATTTGGAGAGAAGCTTCCTCTGCCTTGGACTTATTGAGAAGAAGGCGATGGTTGTTCTAAGTTTACTCCTTTCTCTTCTTTTGGAGAAGAGAAACTAGCGGCTATATATGAGATGGTAATTTGGGTTACAACGAAGATTGAGCCCAATGAAGTGTTGTGGAGCAAATTTTTAAAATTCGATTGGGAAGCTATCCCTGGTTTTCTTACAGAACATAGTTTATTCATTGATGAAGAAAAGAAACATGCTGTGTTTTTCACTACAGGCTGTTATGATAGTACTAAGACCGAGAAGGAATACTACAACGCAGCTTACATCATTGAAAAGAACGACTTCTTTAAAGCAGTGGATCTTGGAGCAATTAACCCTCCTCCCCACGCTGATTTTCAAGTTGTGTGCTTCAACTCTTATGTTCCAAGTTTAGTGCAAATCAAACAAAATTGCTCGGAGAGACAAGAAGAGGAAGCAAGCCAAGAAGCTCTTGTAGTGCAAAAGAAAAACAGGAAACGGAGTTGCCCTTTTTACAATGATATGTTATTTGTTTCTTTCATCACCTCTTTTTCAATCTTTTTTCTTGTTTTAGTTGCTGCTATCTTCTTTTATCAAGGCTAGTCATTCAGACACTTGATTAAAGATATACTTCTTTTCTCTTTAATTTATCTTCGTCATGCTATTCTTATTTCAAATATATTTATTTTGTGCTTTTCCACTCTTTTTCTTATACCAAGACAAGCTTTTCAACAAATGTATTCAGTATTATTGTGCCTTGTTGAAATTATATAGAGAGGGGAAACATCATTTCCTGATGACATGAGCGTTCCTGCCATCTTCTGAGCAAAGCTGAATATGTCAAAATGCACCATATTTTTCCTCTCATTTAGCTGATCAGAAAAACAAAAAGGACTGCAGTACCTACAAAAAGCGAAAAGAACCTTTTGGAGTCAGGAGGATTAGTAGGTCTATTATTCATTATGCTTTTCAAGGAGATCACCAAAATTTTCAGAGTGTTAGCTTAACAGCTGCTATATACTGACTGTCTTTGATTTTAACTTTTTATAGATGACTAATGTTTCTGCCAAAAAGGGAAATGAAACCATTGGATATGTTAACCTGAACATTTTTTATATATTTATCTGCAATTTTATATATGACTAGTGTTTCTGCTAATGAGACTATTTTTCATTAAATGAGTATTTTCAATACTTTCACTATCTCATGGATTCAGTGTGAAACGGACAACTAGCATGCAGTACTCGTCTACGACTGTCTTATTTTCTCCATGTAGACTTTATACAAGAAATCAACCAATTCATACATCAACCGAGGGTCATGGTCCCGATCAGTACATTAATTAACTTGGTCTCTGTGATAATATATACATCAACACAACTTCTATTCAAGTTTCATACATCAACCAACACTTTTAGATCAATACATACTTTGATCTTGTCTCCGTTAGTCTAATTCTAATGGTGTTTTATGTGGACTTAGCAGATGATTACGCGGATTAAAAGGTTAATTACGTGAAACATTATACTAACGACGTTGATTTGGGCGCTTAAACACTACATCATTTTGTGTTTTTCCAAAATGACTTCCTGATGACATGAGTGTCATCTTCTAAGCAAAGCTGAATATGTCCGATGCACCATATTTTTGCCTCTAATTTATCTGATCAGAAAACTAAAAGGACTGCAGTACCTACAAAATGCGAAAAAACCCTCTTTTTAAGTCAGGAGGCTTAGGTCTGTTATTATTATTCATTATACTTTTCTAGGAGATCACCGAAATTTTCAGAGTCTCAGCTAATAGATGCTGTCTATGACTGTCATGTTTTTTATATATAATGAATTTTTCTGCTAAAGAGGTAAATGAAATCATTGGATAATGTTAGTGTGAACATATTCTAAAACTAGCATCCAGTATTCACGAACGGCTGTCTTATTTTCTCTATGTGGACTATATACTACCACTTTGTGTTAGATTTCTGACTATTATTGCTGATTAAAAAAATATTTTCGATACAGAACAAGACCCGAAGATATAATTTAGAGCTTGTGAACTTTTTCTTACCACATTGGTGTGATTTGTAACTTAATCAGATTATAGAATGCAGACATATATATGATTAAATTACAAATCGCACCAGTGTTGTATTTGTCTGCATTCCGTAATCCGATTAAGTTACAAATCACACCAATGTTGTAAGAAAAGGCTCATAAACTCTAACATTGGTGCGATTTGTAACTTAATCAGCCATATAAGTCCATTTTCAAACAATATAGGTGGATTAATATTCAACCTAGAACAGAAGAACGCCCACACCTTTGAGCTGTAACCAGTGCTGGTTTAGGGGCAGTGCCCAAAGTGCTTTTGCACTAGGTCATTTTTTTTTGATAATTTCTTTAAAGAATTGGAGTCCTTATTTGTAAAAATAGTATAGATTAGGATCCTAATTTTTAGTTATAATAGTTATATCACTGAAAATTTTTTTTTGGCACAAGGTCCATAATCTTATGGGGCCGGGCCTGGCTGTAACTACAATCAAAGAAAATGTGTTGTCTGGTCTCATCCACCATGTTGCAAAGGATGCAATTTAAAGGCACCTGCAAGATCCAACTTCTCATTCTATCTCTTATTCCCAATCTTTCTCGAGCAATCATCCAAGTTATAAAGGCGTGTTTCGGTATCCGCCCTAGGAACCAAACTAATGAAATCAATTATATATACAAAATATATCACGTTTTAAATAAAACAAATATTTCCTTTTATATATGTTAAAATTAGTTTAACTATAAGAATATAAATAATAATTTAAAAATATGAATCCTATTTTTATGCAATTTTTTTATGAAAACAAATATATATATATAATTTGAGAAATTTTAATATTTTATAAATAATTCATTTTATATAGGTTATTTAAAAATCAATATAAAGAAAAGGAAATTTAAAATAAAAAGATAAAAATTATAAAATGAAAAGAAGACGTTAGTAATGATATTAATTATATTTTTTATAATTCATTAAAGATATCATCTATACTATTATTTAAGAATTAAATT